CCTGTTCTTTGTGCCAGCCCCCTGCCCCACTCCCTGTGCTGCCTCTGGCTCCCGCAGGGTCAGGATGGAGATGAGAGACAAGGGATAAAGGGAGGATCTATTAACTGATCACCTTGTATTCGGTGAAGATGCCTTTTGTGTGTCGGCTGCACAGATGCGGGCTCCCGCTCATATGAGGGAGTCCTGGGGGGCTCTTAACCCCCTTTCCACTGGCTGCCGCCCTCTGACACCACAGTATCCCTGCCCTGACCCCCACAATGCTCTCTCCGGCTGACTGTAAAAACACTCCATGGCCTCTCTGTTGAGTTCGCTGCACCCTGGCAGGAAGTCCTCTAGGGCGATGCCTTTCAGGAGGACTCAAGCAGATATTACACATCCATGCCCTTTCCGTCCCCAGCAAAACCTGGAAGCCTAAAGCCCTGTCACGCTGCCCTCTGCATTGGCCCTGCCAGCAGAAGCATCTCCAATCAGTCTCCTGCCTTTGGGCTCTTGCAGGCTGGAGTCAGGATCCTATTTCCAGGCCTCCCAGTGTTCAAAGGACTCACATCAAGACCTCAAAAGAATTCTGAGTCAAGGTCTCTGGAGTGTCACTTCATGAGTCACGGCTATACCTCACTGACTGAACAATAAGTCCAAGCCACCAGACATGCCCTCCAGGATGAGAGCCATCCCCTCACCCTGCTTCTTCACCCCTACACCCGGCTCCCTGTATGGCAGGTAGTTCTAGCTAGGATTACAGATCATATCTCTCTCAAGAATATATCAGCTTTTTGACTTAACCAAAAATTTTAAGCATAATATCCTTCTCTGTTATTGCTTTAGGCAATTTATACAGATAAATACGATTTCTTATCTATAACACATGAAGTATGGATTTTTAGGTTAATTAGGATATATAATTCTGACATACAAAAGTTTGTACTCATAAACAGTATTTCCACAATACTCAGGTCAAGGATGGTTTCATATTTATAGTAAAATTCACCTCTGATTAATTAAAGTTAATCCTGAAAACCTTGTCGAATATACTTTATAAAGTACTTAATGCTCTCATAAATTCCTATGAAAATGATGAATAGGTGGATGGATGGACAGATAAAATATTTTTAAAGTGCCAAATCCAGGATGTCAACATGAAATGAGAGATGGGTTTGGTTTCTTATTCTTCAATATAATAGCTGTGACCTTGGGAAATGTCATTTAACGTCTTCATGTCTCAATGTCCTTGTCTGTAAATAGATACAAATACGGTCATCAAAAGACTTGCTCTGAGCATCAGATAAGATAACCCTGGGAGCTCTAGAGCTACATTTAACAGAAAGGTGTTAGTGAGATGGGGTAGGGGTTCTGCAGCTGTTGCCGCAAATGACTTCCATGTTTCTGTGACTCACTTTTACTACCTGAAAAATAGGCATTGAATGACTTCTCCTCCAGCTTTCCCTGCATATAAGGTAGTGCATGCAGGGCATACAGGAGGCCTTTCTAGATCTGACCAGCTGTACAACCACAGGCCAGCCATGAAAATCTCTGTGCTACAATTCTCTCAACTGTTTAAAAGGATAATGATGACTACCCCAGAGAGTGGTCATAAGAATCAAATGTCTTAAAGTAGCCCAGTGCCTAGAACATAGATAACACCACTCAGCCTATGCAACTATTAGAATCCACAGTGTCCTGTGAATTTCCAGTGAAAAATGCCATGGGGTTGCCTCTCCCTTTATTGCCTAGATTCAGTCATTTCTGAATAAGCTCTGTTGCTATGGTTACCTTCCAAAGACACCACATTTGAAAATGTGTTGGGAGATAGGGATTGATGGCAGAAGGCTTTAGTGGAGGACACAAAGCAACTTCAGCAACTGAGACATTTTAATACATGTGAACTCTTTCTCTTGGAAACCGAAGTCACATTTTGCCAAAATGGAAATGAAGTCAGGAAGTGGAGTTTCAGAAGTTCCGCATTTGGCCAGCCTCCTTCCCCCACCACTGGGACCTCAAGGACAGGTATACCTGGCCCTGAACCAACTCCTGAGCATCTCGGTTTTCTCCCCCAGGAGCTGGCAGTCTGAAGGGTGTTGGTTGCCAGACAGTATTCATCAGATTCACTTCCCAGATGCTATCGCTTCTGATGCCGAATAAAAAATAGGTTGCCCAGAAATTGAGGTTGGAAAGGACAAGTGTAGCTGAGAAATGCACAGTGATACGCACAGAACAATAAAGGGCTATTCTTGTGAAAATTCATTAGCATATATATTTGAATATTCCAGGGATCTGCACATCCCTCAGATCCCATACTCAGTCCCTGCAGGGGCCAGCACTAACATCCCAGGCTAAACTATCCCCCACAGCAGTGTTATAAATGGTTTTCGATCTGTCAAAATCAGTCACGGCTCCAACAGGGAATGAATAAAAGTTGGCCTGACCGCTCTTCCTGTTTCCAACTACAGCAAACCCAAGACCTGATGGGGCCTCACGGGCAAGAGTATTGTACACTAAATCCTACTAAAAAGACTCTTTCTTCCCGGTCATTTTTTCCCAGACATCCCAGGGAGCTGTCCTGTTCTTACTTGAAATTCAAACCACAAGGAAGTCACCTCTAAAAATACCAAGTTTCCCACTGGCCTTTTCACGATGATGCAGCACCACCTAGGGGACAGTGTCATTCATTTCTTGCCATTCGCACTATAAACTGCCATTTAAAATATCGCAGTCCCCCCCCCCTTATCTACATGAGAAAGCCACAGAAGCTTCTCTGCACACATTCTTCTAGATTCAGCTCCAGACTTACATCAGCTGGAAACCCTGGCGGACTAATTTATTATACAGTGATCACTGCCAAGGGTTGTGGTTCACATTTACAATCGCCATGGAAAATTTGCTTTATTATTATAAGAACTACCAATTATTAAGCACCTGTCACATGACAAGGTCTATATATTTATTCCTAATGTATACAATAGTCCTTCAAATTGGGCATTAACATCTGCATTTTACAAATGAAGAAATCAAGGCTTGGAGAAGTTAAGAGACTTCCCCAGGATCCCAGACCAGGGCTTTCTCTTTCCATGGTAAAAAGCTAGCTGTTTATCCTAACAGTGAGTTGTGCCTACATGGCAGTGAGGCTGCTTATTTTAATGACTATAAAGCAGAATGTTCAAATAAGTATTGTCTCTCAAAGAAGTCACTTTGAAGCCTATACTGTCATTCCAATGACTAATGCTCCTAACATCTCTGCATGTCTGTTGTGAGAACTGCCTGCAGAGCTGTGAGCCGCACAACACAATCCCCTGTTACATGATGGTACATGTTTAACGAAAATATGGTGGGGATACCATGATGTCAAGCAGTGTAACTTTTTCAGGCTCATCCTCTGTAGATTTTGATTCAGTGCATCTGTGAAAGGGCCCAGGAATTTGTATTTTCATCAAGAATGCAAGCAAATGTAACCCTCTGGGGAGTTTTAGAAATACTAGCACAATGATACACGAGAGCTCTTTGGAGTCTGAAGTTGTTGGGTTATGGATCTAGCTCTGTCTTCTTTCTAATAGTATACCTCTAGGAAAGTCATTTAAAGTCCTTGGGTATCAAGTTTCTATTCTATAAAATGATATTCATATTTGTTAATAGCCACCAGACAGCCTTTGGTATGCACTGAATGAGATTACCGGTATGAAATGCTCATACAGTGAGTACCTGGCTTTTAGGAGGCACCTATTGTAGCATAATTAGCCACTCAGATCATCCAATTTGCCCTATGTGACTTTTTGCTGTCTCCAAATATTAAATCCACAGTGAAAGGATATCAGGACACATAAAACATATGTACAGTAACGTGTTTAATTTAAAAATCTCTAAAGACTCTCAGGAGTTGATAGAGGATAATAAATAAATAGAGAAAGAAATATATCATCTGTAGGTTAGACGATGCCCTAGAAATTAGAAACCAACATTTAAAAAAGTTTGATACTCAAGAGAATAACACGTTCCTCGGGCGGGGGGTGGGGTTGGAACCCACAACTCACTGATACAAGAGATAAAAGCAACCCAAGTGTCCATGGATAGATGGATGAGTAAATAAAATGTGGCATATACACACAACAGGATATTAATCAGCCTTAAAAAGGAAGGAAATTCTGATATCTACTACGTGGACGGACCTGGAGGACGCTACACTGAGCAAAATAAGCCATCACACAAAAGGACAAATACTGTATGATTCCACTCATATGAGGTACCTCGAGTAATCAAATTCATACAGACAAAGAAAAAATAGTGGTTGCCAGGAGCTGGCAGGAAGGGCAATGGGGAGTTTCTCTTCAGTGGGTACGGTTTCCATCTACAAGATGAACTGAATCCAGTAGATGGAGGGTGGTGACGGTCGTGCATCCACTGAACTGTACATTTAAGAACAGTTCTAAAAGGAAGGCCTGGTAGCTCAGCAGTTGAACGTCTGCCTTTGGCTCAGGGTGTGATCCCGGGGTGCCAGGATGGAATCCCACATCGGGCTCCCTGCATGGAGCCTGCTTCTCCCTCTGCTTGTGTCTCTACCTCTCTCTCTGTGTCTCCCATGGATAAATATTTTTTAAAAACACGGTTCCAAAAGATGTGTATTCTATCACAATTAAGAGCATTTTTAAAATAAAAAAAACCCACATGGCTCTCAAAATCAATGTTAAATTCGCATTACAAACGTCTTGGTGGGTTTGTGTTTCTTAAGGAGTGCTCCTCTCGGCTTAGAAATGCATAGAGCACATTCTTTTAAAAAAGTGAGCAGGTCGGGTGCCTGGGTGGCTCAGCAGATGGGCAGCTGCCCTTGGCCCAGGGTGTGATCCTGGGGTCCAGGATCGAGTCCCACATCACAAGGAGCCTGCTTCTCCCTCTGCCTGTGTCCCTGCCCCCCCCCTTTCTGTCTCTCTCTCTCTCTCTCTCTCTCTCTCTCTCTCTCTCTGGGTCTTTCATAAATAAAAATCTTAAAAAAAATGAGCAAGTCAATTGACAAGTACTTTTCCATCCACGTTCTCAAAGCTGTGACCAGCACTGGCTCGCTCGCCTGTTTTCCTTCGAGGCTACGATCACCCAGGACATGTTGCTGGGTGAGTAGGGGCCGAGCCTGGAAAACCTGCTCCAGGTTCCCTGGCCTGGCCTTAGGTGGGGCTTTGAGGCTGCAGAGGACACGGAAGGAGGGAGCCAGCGGGACACGGTGGCCGGTGGCCAGGCCAGTCCTGTCCTGGGGCAAAGGGAAGGGAGTGGGCCCTGCAAGGCCCAGTGGCGGTGGCGGTGGCAGTGGCAGTGGCCACGGTGTGGGCCGCCTCCCCAGCTTGCGTGTCACATCAAGTTGCATCCGGCACAGGCCCGTGACGAGGGTGGTGGCCAGTTTGTTATCTTTGATTTTCTTTGAGACTAGCGTTTAATAAGGTAGATGGGAGATTGATGAGTGCCGTAAGTGACATCAAAGCACTTCGAAGTTTCCGAAATACGATAGCATTGGCTTTTTGTCTAATTTAACTTAAAAGTTATGACAAGATGAAAGTCTTTATATATTTAACAAATTCTGTATCTTTCTCCATTCGTTGCATTTCTTCGTGTGTGTGCAAAAATAGAAATGGACTTCCTGAAACAATTGGCACAAGGTAGATGCGGTTCTTTCCCTCTTGGGGGTGATGTGGGTCCCCGTGTACAGAGATTGCCTGAGATGGAACAGGCAGGGCTCCAGAGTTGAAAACCAGAGAAGTGTGGGGACAATTGGGTGAACAAGTAGAAAATAAAGAGAGGAGGGCTGGTCTCACCTTTCATCTGCCAGGGAACATTTACTGCTGCCTCAAAGAAACTCCGGAGGGTGAGGTACATGTAAAACCATCTGGCAGCGAACGTGGATGGTCCTAGTGCGTCTTGGTAACATGATGTAGGTTACTAACCTTGAGTGAAATTCTTTAGGGCAAAATTTAGAGTTTTTAAAAAAAGGTACCCCATATTTGGCTCTAAGATGATAGATAAATAGATATGGCGCATCAATCAGCACTTGGTTGCTGGTAACAGAAACCACTCGATCTCGCTTAAACGCCCTGGGCTTGGAGGTCAACTTCTGGCCATTCGCAGAAGCCTGCTTCCTCTCCCTGGGCGATCGGAAGGACTAAAAGTGCAGCCTGTAGTCTGACATCCAGGTGTGACACTGAGACCACCAGCACAAAACTGACCATCCAGAAGAGCCCCTGTCTCTGTGGACAGCATGGAAGCTGGGAAATCATGCAGACACCTGCCTGGATGTTAGTTCCGGAGACATAGCATCTTCGCCACAAGGCCCACCAGCAAACCGGCTGCCCCACACTCCCGAGGACTTCTGCTGCTGCTATTCCAGAAAAATCAAATGCTCCGCAATCGTTGACAGAAATTTTCCACCTTATCGTGTCTTCTTAATCTCAAGCAGGAGGAAAGCAGGTCACAGGTGGAATTTAGGCTGTAAAGAAGATCGGGAAAGGTACAGACTTCAGTTCCCTGGGCTCATCAGTGAGCCACAGCACACCCATGTGCCACAAATGGGTTAAAAGTGTATCAAGAGATCTCTATCTCCTAAGCCTTTTGGGTAGCCACAAAGGGCCGGGCAGCCAAAGCAACTTTCGGCCAGTGACCTCCTCACCTAGCGCTCCTTCAAAGGGGTAGCGTGGACCGAGCAGGGCTTGATGGCTCATGCCTCGATTTCTATGGATAAAGACTATGAGGAACATTGGCTCTCCCTGCTGTGCTGTGATGTGTCATGTGAAGCCAAGAGTGTGTCCAGTTAGCCAGACAGCTACTTAAGAAGCCCGCTGCTGGCTGAGCTGCTAAGCATCACCGACGAGGGACACTCTGGCTGCTGATAGTTTCAGTGGTGAAGTGTGGACAACTGGGCTTGGGGAAGGCCAGCTCCTCACAAGTACAGCTCCAGGTAGATGCCCCAAATCTCTTCTGTTTACTTACATGTATTTGCTTAGAGATGTTCAAACTAGTTGCAGGGTGACTGCTCTAACACACACGAGTAAGAACTTCATTATTATTTGGAAATACTCAATATGAAAAAATTCATTTCAAATTCATTTGCATTATCACACACACAAAAAATCAACATTGCATTTGTCAATGACAGAACAAGAAGAGCTATTAGAATTTTTAACTTTTGAGTGGTTTTAAAAATGGCTTGAAATTGTTTCATCAGCTACTCAGGTAAACAAAGTTTCTTGTCAATGATGACCACCAAGAATCTGAAGACCTCGTCATTAAAAAAATAATCGGGAATTAGATATAGTCGTTTCAAGCAGAACATTTGATATTTAAGTTGTGTCTAGATAGCAAGATCAAGTTTCTCATTAAGGTGTTTTAAAAAAATGTATTTGGGGATTTTGCACAAAATCAATATTTAAAATCTTCCCTAATACTTTGGGTTTTACTGATTTTCGTTATTATAGCATATGAAGAAAATATAATACTTTGTCCTACTAAGCGCCAAATAAACACTCAAAAAACTCTCTAGCTTAGTGCTATAAAAACACTTCATTTTCTATATGCACTATGATGTAAAAAAAAAAAAGGTAGGGCTTGGAATGGAGTAGAGTGAGCCATGTTCTCACATAGAGAACAAGATTTCACAGTAAATTTAAGATTATTTACTTGCTATATTAACATTCTACGCAGAGGATAATGCTCTTGGCTCCTTTTCCTTTTAAAATTTAGTTATCAGAATTTATCACATGCACCATCACCACCACTATTGCTCCATCTCATAAAAAACCTGCAAGAAATGTTCAGATTATATATGTCCTCCTTTTGTATATTACCAAATCTTGCTCATTCTCTACAGCTAGCTCTGAAAACCCAACCCAGCGACTCTTTCCCCTCTGACCAACTCTTCCCTTCTGCTTTGGGCCTTTTCAAACATCAGGTTATCTTTTGACAAATACTAATAGCATCTTATCTCATAAGCAACTTGAGAGGATCCCTGTCTTAACTTCTTTATACCCCCCATCACTCAGGGTACACACTAAGTAAGCTCTTAATGGTTACCACTAATTACTAAAATGATTTTGGAGTATCAAACATTAGGAATGGATTGACATCAACTAATGAGTTTTTTTCTGGTTTTAAGTGTTAATATATATTCATTTTTGAAAATACGAAAAATAAAATAAAAATCACAATTCTATTCAGAAATATCACTCTCTCCATCTTTATTCCTTTCCTTCCTTTTGTGCACTTCTATGCATTTTTAAAAAATAAAACTTGAATCCTACTGTATGGAGTTGTTTTCCATTTAACATAATTGTAAAATTTTCCCCATGTCAAATAAATTATGGCACATGCAGATATTTTACAAATATTAAAATGATGTCTTAGAACAGTGCTTCTCAAACTTTAATGAGCATACAAATCATCTGGGATTGTTACAATACAGATTCTGGTTCAGAATCTGAACCAGAATAAGTCTTGAGATGGGTCCCAAGATTCTGCATTTTTAACAACCTCCCAGATGATGGCAACACTACTGGTCTACTCTGAGTAGCAACAGCTTAGAAAAAAAAAATTCCAGTAATGATGAACACACATCATTTTCAATGCCTGGCTCATAAGCAGTGAAATACCACATCAATGGAGTGATGAGAATCCTTACACACAATGCAGGAGTAATACAAATATTTATCAAGTGTGTACTACCTATGCGTATAGGCACAAAGATCATTAAAAATCTAATTACTGGTCCATATCAACAGGTATCAATATTTCCAACACTCTGGATGCAAACAGCCAAAGGACATTTCATAGTGACAAAAACAGATCAGTGGTTTCCAGCGAACAAGGGAGAAAGGCAGAAATGGAGGAAACTTTTATGGGTGGTGGTATGTTCGTATCTTGATTACGGTGAAATTTTCATGGATATTTAATATGTAAAATCTGTTGCAATGTATTAAATTGTACACTTTAAATAGTGCAGTCCATTGCCAATTACACAATAAAGCAATTTTTTTAAATATGGGGAAGGGGAAGCCACAAAATGTATTCCAGAAAGGCGTTTACTTTCCACCAGCAGCATAGGCAAGTGCCTGCTTCATCACACCTTCGGCAATACTGTAATTCTTAAAAGAATAGAGAGAGAAAAACCCTGCTAATTTAAAAGACAAACATATCCCATTTGTTCAAATATACATGTCTTTGATTAGTAGTAGACTGAATTTTTTTTTTGTGTTGACCAGCTCTTTTGTTATGTCAGTGTTTCTTTCAACTTAAAGGAGCTCTTTAGATATTTATCAAAAATATATCACCAATTTTTTCCCTCAGCTTGATGTTTACCTGTGTGTATACTTGACGTAATTGTAAGAAGACATTTTAAAGAAGTTCAGGAATAAAAAAAATACTCTTAACGCTGCTCCAAACACACACAAAACTCAAATCCAAAATACAGAATTAGAAGTAAAACTGAAGTCTTTTCCAACCACCTAATTTCTTTCACAACGTGGCTGACTTGTAACCACAGATTACATCAGAAGCAAGCCATGTATATAAACACATCAACTTCTACCTTTCACATTCATTCTTATGGTTGGTTGATATGTAAAATAGGTTAGTTGCATCCTTTATACATTGGAAATAGTGGTACTGATATAAAATATTCTGTGACTTGGTCAAGAGTAGTTAGAATTTGGATTTATAAATTCCCATTTATTCATACTCTCTCACTGCATGAGAAATGGGTCCATGAAATCACACTGGGTTGTGTGGTTTGGGGTGGTTTTTCCGGTTTGTTTTTTGTTGAGTCAATTGAATGAATATGTAAATATTCTCCTGGAGTGCCCAAAAGTATCTATAAAATTGTCCAACCCTTTGAACAGGAGTCATAATTAGCCACTAGAAGCAAAAGATACACACATAACATTTAAAGAACGAATCTTAGTTTCCTTAATAAAGTATCTTCAACTCTCATGCTGAAGCTTTTAAGAGTTAAATCATTTGGCCAAGGACACAAAGCTAAGTGCTGTCCAATCCAGAACCAGAATCTAGATTTCTTGAGATGCAAGCCAAAGGGTAGTAGAGGATGGAATGATGTGGGGATCAGTGATGGGGCTGAGACTCCTGGAAAATCAAGTTCTTTGAGCTATAACTTCCTCAACCCTAAAATGAGGTAGGTGAGTTAAATGATGGCCAAATTTCCTTTCAGCCCTAACCTTTTCTAAATGCAGGCTGGACAAGTGGATAAGATCTCTGACAGATGAAGTCCCATGCTGGAGCTTTTTTATCACTAACCCAGGGTTCAACTTAAGCCCGTGTTAGCTCAGGCTCACTCCAGCACTGCCCTATTACCTGCATAGTGCTGGCAAATAATCTATCCTCGCATTAGAGAGGATGTGAGGGCCCAAAGAGGATCCTAATAGCAGCTACACCTCAGAGTTAAAATAATGAAGAGAGCATATGTGTGAGTACTTAGCTGGGTCTGGCACAGAGCAAGAAGTCCAGGAATTGCAGATCTGTGTATTTGGGGTATCTTCGTTCATCCGGGCTGATGTTAACAGAATGCCATCAACCAGGCGGCTTATAAACAACAATTTATTTCTCAGTTCTAGAGGCTGGGAAGTCCAAATTCAAGGCTCTGTCAGTGTCTGGTGAGGGCCTCTTCCTGGCTCATAGGTGGTCTTCTCATTGTGTCCTTACATGGCAGAAGCAGCAAGGGGCTCTCTGGAGTCTCTTTTATAAAAGAGTACTAATACAGTTCACAAGGGCTCCACCTTCATGGACCAATCACCTCCCTATGCTCTACCTCAAATATCATCACAGTGGGGGATAGGTTTCAACAAATGAATTCAGAGGAGACAACAACATGCAGTCCCTTGCATGGAGGTAAAATCATACCAATTTCCAGGGCACTCAGGGTTCACAGGTGAAACTCATAGTATCCACAGTGAGTCAAACTAGGTGGATAGGTATACCACAAGTTTGAACAAATATTTCAACAAAAGAATGAGCAAATGTAATTGAAAAATATTCCTCAGGTCTGGCTCACACCATAGTTCAGCAATATATTTAATCTAAAAGACTTCAAGAAATGGTGGTGGGGGAGAGGGGAAGAATGGGAAAGGAATGAACTTAGCAATGGCAAAAGTTATGTGTAAGCAGCCCACAGCCTATCAGGTTTAGTAAATTTGGACTCCTTGGCATCTCTGCACGGTCTCCTCCATGTATCTCTGTGTGGCCCACGAACCACTTCCACCTAGAATGCCTGTTACAAATGCAGGCATCTGACCCACAGCCACTTTGCACATGCTACCTCATTATTTCTTACACATTCTGCCATTTGAGTACCCAGTCCAAGTGCCATGTGGCCAATGCTTGAGTCCTAGAATGGCTTAAAGCAAGAGTGCAGATGTGCAGGTTCTGAAGACAAGGACCACCCAAGCCAACTTAGCTGCAGCCCACACAACTAAGAAGCCAGTGTTCAATGGATCAAGGCTAACAAGCAAAAGTAAAACGTACAGCCCATGAATCTGTCAAGTATCTGGGCCTTAGAGGGAACAAGTATGGTTGGAAAAGTGACCCTTTTGGAGTCACCTTCTAAAATGCCAATAACAATATTTCTTCCACTCTTAAAATTTATTTTAACAGTGAACTAAAGTGACACTTTCTGCCATGGTGAGCAGTCAGGTAAAGTCTATTGACAACTGAACTGTAGTCTTTATTAAACTTATTTTACAAACTTATGTCTGCTAATACGAAAAGGCTGCTTTCACTTTTAACACGTGCTTTGTAGATTTACACCAGCAGTAAGAAAGGCTTCGGTTGAGTAGAGTTTGGTCTTCAAAAATGTGACTACATCCTTCATCTCCAGCCTTTCCACCTCCCAATTAGGGACCTTGCCAAAGAAAGGGGAAAATTATCAGTTTGCAAGAAGACGACATGTAAAATAAAAACTAGTTTTGAGACCCACGCATATCAAAGTAACATCGAGGCAAATGTTTTTTTTTTTTACACAAGCAAGTGTTATCTTGTAATTACTCATATTTTAAAGGCTTAGGAAGACTATATGCTAGGGTTGAAGAAAGCTCTACCAGTGAAAATTCTAAAAACTTTAAAGGTTTTCTAAAGGGCACAAAAACTCATTTCTTGAGATAATCTTCCTGAGAATTTATATGATATCCATTATGAGGAAAAAAGTCTTAAGTAGCAGCCCATTAAGAAAAACATGCCATCTTAACCTCAGTAATTTGTACATAATCCATGCTTGGATACGAAAGCACCAAATGAAGATGAGAATGTTTACACTTCACATTATGTGCAGGACCAACTAAGTGGCATTTAGATAGTTTCCAACATTAATATATATAAGTTCATTCATAAGGTTCTTGCTCCATACAGAGAGAGACATGTGAAGAGGCTGGCCAAGCAAAACTGTGGAGCTCAGAATCAAAATGAGCTGTGGGAGGGAAGAGGAAGCTGTCTCCTCTCACGCCCATCCAGCTTTTCCTGGAGACAAACATCCTACGAGCCTCACATCGGTCCATGAAAACAACGCTTAAATTCACATCTTTTCTTCCTTTGTTCAAGAAACTCTGGAAATTGAATATGATGTCATAGGTCTTAAATGAAATAAGAAAATGTATTTTTTATATTTTTCCTCTTAACAAAAAAAGAATAAAGTTGATCAAACATAGTGTTTATAAAACTCCTAGTAAATAATAGTTGCCAGTGGAGTAGAAACCACATCATGCACAGAAATGTTCTTTTCTAGGGGATCCCTGGGTGGCGCAGCGGTTTAGCGCATGCCTTTGGCCCAGGGCACGATCCTGGAGATCCGGGATCGAATCCCACGTCAGGCTCCTGGTGCATGGAGCCTGCTTCTCCCTCTGCCTATGTCTCTGCCTCTCTCTCTCTCTGACTATCATAAATAAATAAAAATTAAAAAAAAAAAAAAAAAGAAATGTTCTTTTCTAAATAAGAAATAACTAAAATACTTATTCCAGTACTGCTGACAATTCCTCTAGGGTCCTAGTAACCAAGCTCAACCACAATATCCCCAGCAGAATGGACATCAGTAACTGAAAAGTATTTTGTTTGCATTTTTTTCTTACCAAGATTACATGAAAACCCATTATTTTCAAATGTCGCATTTTCATGGCAAGGAATCCTTTGGGGTGGCCTAAATCCAAACAGTAAGCAGATCTAGGAACACACAGTATAGCTACCCTGAAAATGAAAGTGCACAAAAGGAGACCCGTTACCAAAAGTGCACAAAAGGAGTGAGATTACATCTACACTCATGCTGCATTTCCTGTTCTTTGGAGATTTCAAATTCAAGTTCTCTGCTGACCACAGTTGTCACCATCCTCTACCTCATTACTAACCTCTGCAAATACTCCAGTACAGCACTGTAAGCATTTTAAGGCTTTCCTATGCAGTGTTAGTCTCTGATATAAATATAATTATTTATGCTACTAGAAGTACTGATGTAGATAAACCAAATGGCAAATGCTTTCCTTCTACATATTGTCTCCTGGAGAGAGAAGCGTTTAAAAACCAGAATGAAGAGAACAAATACAAAGAAAAAAAAAAAAAAACACTAAGAGAAAGGCCGGACTGTTAAAAAGATAACATCTGTATGTGTACCACAACTTGGAAGGTGTAATTCGTTTTTTTCATTGTTCTTGACCTTTTGGAAAGATTAAGCCGGTTGGAGAAAAAAAAAAAAGGCATTTGTATCCTTCCTGTCTTCCCGTATACTTTGGCTGTTATCTGAGATAACATAAAAGAAATTTTATTTTTTAAAGGAATGCTCCTATTCCTTACTTCTTCTCAGTACTTTAGGCTGAGAGCTACTGTATTATTAGGCTCAAACAGTGGAGTACCCAAAAAAGAAAGATTCTCTTTCACAGAGGTCAGAGAAAAAGCCTTTCTCTCAGGGAAGATGGCTAACATGTATAGGGAAAGCACAGTGAAGAAGATGGCCAAGGAACAAGCTGGATGGACTCAGAAAGGGGTAAAGGGTACTGAGTTGGAAGAGAATGGACAAGGATGAGCAGATAAAGTGTGAATCCCTACAGATTTCCTTTCTCTACCTCACACTACTGTATTTATGTGCATGTCCTATGAAGCAATGGGGATAGAAGTTCCTTGGGGTCACGATCCATGTCTTCCTCATCTTTGTGTGCCCTGAAGGGCCTAGCAGGGCCTTTCCACAAAGACTGACTAAACACAGGGTGTGTGCAACGTGACCCGAAGCATCTGCACTGAGAGTTTCAATTATGTTAACATTGCTTTATTGTACTACTCGGCTTTAAAACCTAATTTGTAAAAATTGCCTATTTCATTACATGGCTCAACTCCAGTCCACCGTCTAATGAATGCTTGTGTTTACACCTAAGCAGTAGATTAATGGTTGCAAAGTCCCTTGGTACATCACAAGCTCTACACAAATAGAAGGTCTTAGTACTGTTACTGCTATCTAACACGAAGTCTGTGAGAATTAAATTCAGAAACTCAGCAAATGAATATATGTCAGTAACCTTCGAATATCTGCAGAAGTTACCACGCTGGAAAATGGAAGCACTTGACTTCTGTTAATATCCATTCTGACTTCAAAATCTGAAAGAAAAAAATTAATTTTTCAAACATTCCTCAAAGTGATTTTGTTTCAAAATGTAACTATCACTACCAATAATGATAATGGCATCAGACAAAACATATGATGAGCTTACCATGTGCCAGACTCCAATCTGGATTTTATATGCATCATTTATAACATTTATATGCATCATCTCACTTATTCATCACAGAAACCCTAGGAGGTGGACACTATGTTTACTGCTATTTTAGGGTCAAGGGGATGGAGGCAAGAGCCTTGCAAACACAGCACTAGAACGTACAGAGCAAGAATCCAAACCTGGCAGTCCAGCTTCAGAGCCAACGCTCCACTAACCTACCATGGACTCATATTTGTCTGAAATAAATGAAAATAAATAAAATACCATAGAGGAAAATCACATAAAGTCCCATACCGATACAATAATTATGTGGCAACTGTGTATTTTTTGAAAAGTATCCTTCTCCCAGAAGGCTTCTTAGAGCATCTGTCACCTTCTCATGTAGATATAATGGTGTGGACGGTGGCGGTAACAGTTCTAAGTCTATGTCCATGTGACAAGAAATATCAAGTTTTAGGCAAACAGCCAAAATACGAAGCTTGTGAGCATTCCTCTCAGTGTCATCTAAAAAAAGGAGAAAGAAAATACACATAGAGTTAAGAAGAAACATTAACGCCACACTTAAAACACTGTATTAATGCACCTAAATTCCTGATGACCTGTTTATCAGGAGAAATCTCTCTGTGTCCCCGTAGTTCCCACAGTATCTAAATTGGTGCCCGGTATTTGAAAATGTTTTACAGTTTAAAAGATCTTTTGAAGAGATTTATAGTCTAAACTCTTCACTGAATGATGAGCAATGCCCAGGAAAGTTCAAATGCCTCATGATTAAACAAAGGCAAAGTTGGGAATCCATTCGAAAACATGTTTCGAATCCATGTTTTCTGGGATTAAGACTGATTCCCCCACTGTGACTGCTTAAAAAATCAGGACGTGCTACTGTTTCTTCTTCACAATTTGATTTTGGAACTTCCTAACATTGTTTTTAAAGGAATTTAAACTTCTCTATTCTCAGACACATTACTGAATTTTGTATATCTAGCTGAATATTGCTTTTCTTTAATACTAAAGACCAAAAATCAACAATTAACTTCATCCCAGGAGTAAATAAGTTCACTACTTTGGGAACTATTTGACTGCTTGATCTAAGAGCTTGTGTCCTCCCCATATAGGCCAAGAGTCACAAAGTGATTAGGGCTGCAAAAGCTGACTGAACTGGGCTCCAAACGTGACATATAAGGATTAGGAAGTACAAACACCTCTGATCAAGGCATACGGAACACCGTGAACATGTAGCCTTTGTACAGGTGCAGACAGTGTAAATAAAAGGAACAATGGAGATGTGTTTCTGATCCTTGCCTTCTACACCTAAGGTCTGTCATTAAAGGAGGCTGCGTAGGTTTCCTGTTTGAGGCACTGACCTCTGACTTCACCATTTTGCATCCTTTCCTGAGTAGCATCTGCTCTGCACATTTTAACTAACTCTACTTCGACTATGACCCCATTCCGAATCACAAGGTAGCTAGCTAGCAGGACTGCCTTATTTTGAGCACCACTGTACACTGACACTGTACCTGATACCAGCAGCTCATTGATGACGTCCTTTTGGAGAAGTGGGTTAATAAGGGCCATGGGAAAATGGTTCATCAAGCAAAACGAACACACAGCGTTCAGTAGATTTTCAGAAGAGATGTGGTGAAGATAACCAGTCAGAGAGCTAGTCATAACTTCTTGGAATCTTCAAGGAAACAAAGAAAAGTCAGCTTTCAAATATAAACAGAAGACAAGGCCGTGGTAGGGAGATAAAGTGCCAGAGAACCAATGGCTTTAAGGAGCCCAAAGAAAGGAAGTAAGAAAATCAGGCTGGCAGTGAGTACTCGCATGTCTGTCAGGTCAGGTGGCTACCTCAGAATAAATATATATGCTCAATAAATGTTATTTAGCTACCACTACATGTCTTGCACAGAGTAAATATTTACTTTAGTAAATATTTAGTTACTATTAAAACTTGATGGGGACTTTACGCCTTCGGAAGATGGCGGAAGAGCAGGGTCCCCAAGTCACCTGTCCCCACCAAATTACCTAGATAACCTTCAAATCATCCTGAAAATCTACGAATTCGGCCCGAGATGTAAAGAGAGACCAGCTGGAACGCTACAGTGAGAAGAGTTTGCGCTTCTATCCAGGTAGGAAGACGGGGGAAAAGAAATAAAGGAACAAAAGGCCTCCGAGGGGAGGGGCCCCGCGAGGAGCCGGGCTGAGGCCGGGGCGAGTGTCCCCAGGACAGGAGAGCCCCGTCCCGGAGGAGCAGGAGCTGCACCAACCTTCCCGGGCGGGCGGAAAGGGGCTCGCAGGGAGTTGGAGCAGGACCCAGGAGAGCGGGGATGCCCTCGGGCTCCCGGGGACACTAACAGACACCTGCGCCCCGGGAGAGCCCCACACCCCGCGGCAGAGCTCCCTAAGGGCTGCAGCGCGCACGGCGGGACCGACCGGAGCAGCTCGGAGGGGCTCGGGCGGCGGCTCCGCGGAGGGGGCTGCGGGGCGGGAGCGCGAATCCAACAGCGCAGGCCCCGGAGCACAGGGCGCCGGGACACAGCCCAGGATCCGGCCTCCCCCGGGACAGGCAGAGGCCGGGAGGGCCCAGGACAGCGAGGACGCTCCTGCCCGAGCTGAGCAGATCAGCGGCCCCGTCCCGGAGCCTCCAGGCCCTGCAGACGGAGAACCGAGAGCCCCGAGCCCCGTAGTTCCTGCGGAGGCTAAATCCAGGCTTCCAGAGTTGCCATAGCAACTGCTGCTGTTCCTCCTGGGGCCCCACGGGGTAAACAACCCCCGCTGAGCCCTGCAGCAGGCAGGGGCAGAGCAGCTCCCCCAAGTGCTGACACCTGAAAATCAGCGCAACAGGCCCCTCCCCCAGAAGACCAGCTGGACGGACCAGTGATACTCCCCCGTGTTCCAATACAACTTGTTTTTGGCCACTCTGCACTGAGCAAAATGACTAGAAGGAAAACTTCACCTCAAAAGAAAGAATCAGAAACAGCCCTCTCTCCCACAGAGCTACAAAATCTGGATTACAATTCAATGTCAGAAAGCCAATTCAGAAGCACTATTATACAGCTACTGGTGGCTCTAGAAAAGAGCATTAAGGACTCACGAGACTTCATGACTGCAGAATTTAGATCCAATCAGGCAGAAATTAAAAATCAATTGAATGAGATGCAATCCAAACTAGAAGTCCTAACGACGAGGGTTAACGAGGTGGCGAGGGTTAACGAGGTGGAAGAACGAGTGAGTGACATAGAAGACAAGTTAATGGCAAAGAGGGAAACTGAGGAAAAAAGAGACAGTCAATTAAGGGACCATGAAGACAGATTAAGGCAAATAAATGACAGTCTAAGGAAGAAAAACCTACGTTTAATTGGGGTTCCCGAGGGCGCCGAAAGGGACAGAGGGCCAGAATATGTATTTGAACAAATCCTAGCTGAAAACTTTCCCAATCTGGGAAGGGAAACAGGCATTCAGATCCAGGAAATAGAGAGATCCCCCCCTAAAATCAATAAAAACCGTTCAACACCTCGACATCTAATAGTGAAGCTTGCAAATTCCAAAGATAAAGAGAAGATCCTTAAAGCAGCAAGAGACAAGAAGTCCCTGACTTTCATGGGGAGGAATATTAGGGTAACAGCAGACCTCTCCACAGAGACGTGGCAGGCCAGAAAGGGCTGGCAGGATATATTCAGGGTCCTAAATGAGAAGAACATGCAACCAAGAATACTTTATCCAGCAAGGCTCTCATTCAGAATGGAAAGAGAGATAAAGAGCTTCCGAGACAGGCAGGAACTGAAAGAATATGTGACCTCCAAACCAGCTCTGCAAGAAATTTTAAGGGGGACTCTTAAAACTCCCCTTTAAGAAGAAGTTCAGTGGAACAATCCACAAAAACAAGGACTAAATAGATATCATGATGACACTAAACTCATATCTGTCAATAGTAACTCTGAACGTGAACGGGCTTAGTGACCCCATCAAAAGGCGCAGGGTTTCAGACTGGATAAAAAAACAGGACCCATCTATTTGCTGTCTACAAGAGACTCATTTTAGACAGAAGGACACCTACAACCTGAAAATAAAAGGTTGGAGAACCATTTACCATTCAAATGGTTCTCAAAATATACCCTAAAAACTATAGAACACTTCTGAAAGAAATTGAGGAAGACACAAAGAGATGGAAAAATATTCCATGCTCATGGATTGGCAGAATTAATATTGTGAAAATGTCAATGTTACCCAGGGCAATTTACACGTATAATGCAATCCCTATCAAAATACCATGGACTTTCTTCAGAGACTTAGAACAAATTATTTTAAGATTTGTGTGGAATCAGAAAAGACCCCGAACAGCCAGGGGAATTTTAAAAAAGAAAACCATATCTGGGGGCATCACAATGCCAGATTTCAGGTTGTACTACAAAGCTGTGTTCATCAAGACAGTGTGGTACTGGCACAAAAACAGACATATAGATCAATGGAACAGAATAGAGAACCCAGAAGTGGACCCTGAACTTTATGGTCAACTAATATACAATAAAGGAGGAAAGACGATCCACTGGAAGAAAGTCTCTTCAATAAATGGTGCTGGGAAAATTGGACATCCACATGCAGAAGAATGAAACTGGACCACTCTCTTGCACCATACACAAAGATAAACTCAAAATAGATGAAAGATCTAAATGTGAGACAAGATTCCATCAAAATCCCAGAGGAGAACTCAGGCAACACCCTTTTTGAACTTGGCCACAGTAACCGGAGAAGGACAAACAGTGTATGTTCTCATTCATTTGGGGAATATGAATAATAGTGAAAGGGAATATAAGGGAAGGGAGAAGAAATGTGTGAGAAATATCAGAAAGGGAGACAGAACATAAAGACTTCTAACTCTGGGAAATGAACTAGGGGTGGTGGAGGGGGAGGAGGGCGGGGGGTGGGGGTGAATGGGTGACGGGCACTGAGGGGGACACTTGACGGGATGAGCACTGGGTGTTATTCTGTATGTTGGTAAATTGAACACCAATAAAAATTAATTTATAAAATAAAAAAAATAAAGTTACTTTAAAAAAAAAAACTTGATGGGGTAGGTATTATTAATCTCATAATAAAGATGAATAAACAGGTTCAGAGAAGTTGAGGAACTTCTCCAAGAACAAACTACCATGAAATAACAGAGACAGTGCTGGAATCCAAGCTGTCAGGCTCTAGAGCCTTTTAACCATTCTCTTGCTTTTTACCATGAGTATGTCTATAAGGTCTGGAACACTACCACAATTTTATAACCAATAAAAATTATCTAGCTATCAACACTGAGTTAAAAGAACCGCAAACTTAATCCTACCACCAAGAACTAATGTTATACATTATGGCAAAGCAGTTAAGCATGAAGAGAGGAAAGATCAAATTAGGCGGGGTCATTTTACCAGGGTGACACTGGTAATAAATGGCACAGACAGGTTCTGAACCCAGGTCAGTCAGTCTTAGGACATAAGCTACTGATCATTATGTAAGAAGAAAAAAAATGACAATATACAAAGTACTGTGATAGCACACAGGAAAGGAGGTAGATAGAGCAGCTTTGGGGACAAGGAGAATTTCACTGAGTGGAAAAGATGGGAAAAGGGAAGATTATTTGAAACTGAGCAAAGAAACGGGAGGCTTGCAAACGGACACTATCTGTGCTGTTGTCAGCAGCTAGCGAGGCTAAGGCACAAAGCAGTGATTCTTACAGTGAAGGCAAGTATGCCCTGGAGCAAGCCCTTATGCACAATGCGGCTGTACAGAAAAGGGCCTCGGATCAGCTGGGAGGTCCCAGGGGCAGCAGCAGATGGGGGAGGGAGGGAGTGGGAGGCTGTGGCAGGCTAAGCAGGACTGCAGGGGTTACTATGGGGTGGGGAGAAGGGAACAGGTCCAAGGGACAGCAGTGAGGCAAGAAAGGATAGGCTGAAGATGACCACATCTGGAACCTGAGTGGGTGGTAATCACCTCTCCGATCTCATCCCACTCCTGTATGTCATGCTTTAGCACACCCAATTGTGTGTCCTTACCTGCACATGTTCTGTTTCTTTCCTCCCTGACTTGAATATAGTGTCCCTTCTGCTCACAATCTTCTTTCCTGCTTAGCTTCCTAAGATTACCTATTTCTCCACCTTTTAAGATCTGCTTAGGTACCACCTCCTCCAGGCAGCACTGTTTGGTGTTCATCCTGAAACTCCTCATCACCAGGCTTGCATCCTGGCACATCCTCTATTGCCATACATGCTGTATAAAATCTATCACTCCAATTTTCATGCAGTCTTTGCCAAAATTCATGTCTACCTTATCCATTACACAGAATCCTGGTAAAAAGGATAGTGTGGTGGGGTGCCTGGCTGGCTCAGCTGGTGGGGTGTGTGACTTGATCTCGGGGTTCTGAGTTCAAGTCCTACATTGGGTGTAGAGATTATTTAAAAATAAAATCTTAAAAAAAATAAAGATTATATCTTATTCGTCTTTGTCCTAAGTACTCAAGTGCTTGGCATATAGGTTTTCTGACTAAATAAACAAACTTACATAAGGAAGACTCAAAAAGGAGAATGTTAGTAGACAAGGATTAATCAAGAATAATGATGCACACCAAGTTGAGTACATTCAACATATACAGCTTTTTACATGTTTATCATACCTTAATAAGGTGGTTTAAAAACTCATTTCATATAGTTTTCAGTAAATGGTAAATAACTGATGGAGGAGGGGAGGGAGGAGAAGCAGCAATAAGAGAGGAAAAGGAAGACGTATGGTGACCCCACGCAAGCCACAGAAATTCGGGATTTTAGGAGCACACTGAGGACCAGAAATGCCAATCTGCAATTATCTATATGGTGATAAGTACAGATCAAGAAGAAACCAAAGGCCTAAAATGACAGCTTAAATGTTAAATGTTTTCTTTCTTGGGTTTCAAACCCAGGAATGCACTCTGGATTTAACACACTCTCTCTCCCAGAGGCCACCACGTTAATAAAATGATGAATGTACCACATGTGGATATACAATGTGCTAAGCCAAATTTTCTACCACTCTCTTCTAGTCAACTTCCCAAATGCTCTGAGTTAGCCCACTTCTCAAATCTCTGCCACTGCAGCCAAAGACACCATCATCCTTTCTTTTCCCTAGAGCATTCATTTGGTACCTCCATTGATTGCCTTCCTCTGGAAGTCCAAGATGTACCTCCTTAAGTAGACTAGACAAACGTGGAGCATGGTGTAACAAGGTGGAACAGGTAGTCTCTTGGGATGCCCACAGTGAGCTGGAAAACTCCCTAACCACCCAGCGTTTGATCTCCTAATACCATGGAACCCATGCAGCCGTTTCTGGAGTTTTAGTTACCACTCAGCTTGACAGTGTCCATGAGGTGCCGGAGATACGTAGGAGGCAGCCTCTTAAGAAAACCAATCCAAGGGAGTAGAGGAAGACAGACTTTGGGGAATACTTTTCACTCTTTATTCTATGCCAGGTCTTAGGCTAAGTTCAGAATCACAAGAACCTAGGTCTGACTCTAGAGAGCTTTCCAACTGAGAAGCAGAGCCAGGCTTCCTGACGAATAATCACAGCTCTGTGTCAGGGCCCCACCAGAGCTTCATATAAGATGTGACAAGCACAGAAGCTCTGAAATGTAGCACAAACTGAGTTTTTCAGTACAACAGAGGGTCCAGTGGGCAGCTGCCTTCCAGTTGGCCCAGCACCATTTCTGGGGTTATGTGCTCCAGAGGGACGGGCGGGTGACCCAAACTCAGCCATTTGGATTTCTTCTTTTGGAAATCTGAATCCTGACAGAAAACCACATGGACAGAAAGCCGCTGGGTCAAGTCACTTACCTAATGGCAAATGGATGGCCTGAGACTCTTGCCACCTAGACCCTTGGAACTGGCCTACGTTGTGCCTGGCACCCTGTGGCCTACACTGGAATTCTTTTTTTTTTTTTTTTGGAATTCTTTTACACATATCAACCCATTTACTCCTCATAACAACTCACTGTGATTAGAAACAACTCTTTCTTTTTTTTTTTTTTTTGAAATAACTCTTATTTCTTATCCCAATTTAACAGACGAAGAAACTGAAGCCCAAATTAGTAACTTGCCAGAAGTTAAGTAGCTAATGAATGGCAGAGCTGGAATTCAAACCTAAGCAATGTGTCTCCAAAGTCTGTACTTTTAATCACTCCTCTAAAAAAATGACATATTATATACATTTTGTTTTTTAGTGAACCCAAACTGATTTACAGAGGGAGAAATGATGTTCTGGGTGGGAAGCAGAGGTATGAAGAGTTCAGTATGTCTGAGGAACTGCTGTATTTAATAGCAGAAATGCATGGGTGTGGTTAAAAATGAAAATGATAGAAAGCAGTAGCTTGGGACCAAATGAATAGTCATGGTCAAAACTGAACTATGAACTCAGGAGCTGAAGGAATAAGCCAGGAGAGTTTGAGATGAAGATTCCTATGCTGAATTAACAAATACATCATAAAGAACAAAGAAACAAGCAAGAAAAAAAAATCACCAATAATAACTTCACAAATTAAGAATATTACACTTATTTCTTGATACTGATGATGGCCATGGGTGTGTTCACTTGTAATAATGCACTAAGCTTATGATGGTTTGTAACCTTTTTTTGAAGTATGTTATATGGCAATTAAAAAAATTAAAAAAGAAGAGGTACATACTTTGGGGTCTGGCTTTTGTAGAAGTGATTGAGAGAAGAATACACATGAAGAATAGAAAGAATGCTCCTCATGTTTAGAAAGCCAGGATCATCTATCACTTTCTTCATGAACAAGTCCATCAAATCAGTATGTCGATAGCCAAGGTTTTCAAATAAAATGAGGAGAAAGAGAACCTTTAAAAAAGAATGAGGTGACGGAAAACTTTTTTAAATTATGGAATGCTACCAGTAATTTTCTTAGATCTCAAAAAATTGAAACAACAATAAAATTGTCCAGATGAATATTCCCTAAAAAGAAATAATTCTCTTTTCCTCACAAAATCTGTTCTAGTAAATCTTGAATCAGTCATTAAGTTAATAAGCAATCTCTTTTTATAAACTGAGAAACAGAGCATACAAGGGTTTCCATATTTCCATTTCATTTAAAAAATAAATCCTTTCCTATAATGCTTTCCATACAACAGATCTGAAAATTACTTTAAATATACCCTTTCTGAGGTTTTTTAAAATGACCAACTCAGTTTTGAACTATTCCCTCTTCCAAACCTAGACACTTCCTACATTTGCAACATGTTAAGAGAGAACTCAAAATTTCCTCTATTCAATATGTAGTTGTACAAATGAGAACAGAGGTGAAATATACTACAATTAAATTAAAATTTCCAGTTCTTTCCTTCTTGGAACTTCTATTAGTATTTCTCTTTCTAAAGCCGATTTCCACAACAAACTCAATAAGCCCCTTACATTCCAAAGTAAAGGGAACCTAGTGATCGAACACAATTACTACTGCCTCATTACAAAAAGTAGTTTTTAACCACAGGCTTCATTAGATGATTATATTACTAACACAGCCCCCAAATTTAAAGATTCTTACTCCGGAAAAAACAAGACAACCTTCCACAAATAGAAGATAGACATGATCATTAAGCAATGACATATTATTCTTCAAAAAGCATAAGCCTGTCATCATGCATTTTTATTATTCTAAGTCTAAAAAAGAAAAAGTAGAAAGACAGAAATAATCTTAACTATCCAAAGTACCAAAAAATATTTTGCAAAACAGTACAAACTTCAGACTTTATTTTTCTTTCGGAAAGATGTGATAAGGAGCTAATTTTTCAAAAGTCAAATCAACATTGGAATATTTTGGTCTCTTTAACTGTTCTAAAGCTGATAGAGAAATACCCAGAATGTTAAATGAATTGATATGCTTCTTGAAAGCTTCTGGGGCTTATTCTAACCTGTTAACGAACTTACTTGTTTTAACTTCCAGATATCAATAGTTGTAGCCACATAATCTGCTATTGCCTTAAAAAGATTTAAATTACGGTACTGGAGGTCTCTGCAAGACTGCAATATGGTGATCAATACTTTAACAGGACATCCATGGATATTACCTTTAAGAATGAATTAAATAAACAAACAAAAATTACCAGATGGCTTTGAATGTAAAATCCAAGATATCTACACTCAATATGTTTGTTTCTTGAGAGGAATATTGCACTATATTTTGTAAAAGACAAAAACAAAAAATATAGGCAAAAATAACATTTAGATCTAATCATTAGTTTTTGTTTGTCTAACAGTAAAGCTTTTAACAAACAAAACAAATATAGTCCAGAACAGTAGGTGGGGTGCTAAAAATTCCCCTTACCTATGACCGTCTTACTGCATTCATTCAGAAGTATAACAGAGCGGTGATTCATGGCAGCTAATGCCTCAAACATGTTCTGGCTATTCGAATCAGAAAATCTGTCTAATTCCCTCAAGGCTTTCATCTAAAGAAAAACAAAGTTTAATTTATAATTTGTGGCAAAGTAAATTAAACTTTTACTTTTAAGTAAAAGGGGTAAAGTTTGAGCAAAATGACTCAAATAGATATACAAGTTGAATATACATATTAATATAAATAGGAGCGCCTGAGTGTCTCAGTGGGTTAAGTGTCCAGCTCTTAGTGTGGGATCAGGTCATGATCCCAAGCCCCATGTGGGGCTCCATGCCCACTGGGGAGTCTGCTTCAAGATCCTCTCCCTCTGCCCCTCCTCTCACTTGCACGTGCATGAGCTCTCTCAAACAAATAAACCAATCTTAAAAAAAATGTTTACATATACAAATAGATATAAGTCTACTTCTCTTACTTCTCTTTAGCAAAACTGAACCCCAAAACACAACATCTTTCTAAAACCTGACTTTAGGAACTGATAGCAGGTCATAAGAATTTTTTTTTTTCAAATCTTACCCACTAGAGAAAATTCAAAATCTGTTTACCTCCAGTTTCCTTTTAAGACCAACTGGCGCATCTTTTCCAACACATTTTATCACAGCTTGTAATGTAAAGACACGTTCTATTTTCCAGACTTGCTGATCAACAAGTAATCTGTAATTAGATACAATACCACAATCCCAGGATCCAAAAACCAGAAAAATTATTTTAGAAGTTATCTGGTCCAGCTCCTACTTCGAGGCAAGGCAGATGAAGCCAATAGAAATAACCTACCTGCCCAAGGGAGCATAAGTAGTTAAAGATCTAGGACCAGTCTAGCACTATTTCCTCTCACATTATTTTGCCATCATGAATAAACAAAACACATCAAGACATTATAATAAAATATCCCAATGTACAGTCAATGAACAAGGAAATTAAATATTATTCTCACTTACTTATGACATTAGATCGGTTGCATCAATTTTATAAATTACAAAATTCAAGCTCCTTTTTGAGCCCGGTCAGCAGCATGTAACCTTCTCAGATGCCCAAATAACTATTATGAGCTGAATACATGCCAATTCTCTCCTAGCCCCCATCGGTTCTGTTATAAGATCAATTTTGAATTCAATGTTACCCACACTTTTTTTTATGGTAGAGTAAAAAAGAAGCATCATTTCTAACTTTACTTGATCTAGAAGCAAGGTTTTAAGTTTAATAAGGCATCAAAGACTATAACAACCAACACAGTCTCTCCCCATCCAAATAAGGCAGGCCGGCTTTCATATTGGTTTTTGATTTGAGATATAAAAGGAATAGAGAATGCCACATGAAGAAAGCAGAGACAGTACTCACCGCAAGCCTGCTCGAAGAACGTCCACATTCTTACACGGCTTCATTGCCTCTAAAACGGCTGACAAAACTGAAAGACATTTCTCATCACATTCATTGATACGTTCCTATTGAAATATAATTACAAAAACACTGCAGATGACAAGCCCGTGGTAGACCACCTCACCTAAGCAAAACACTGAACTGAAGCTCTCAAATGACTAAATATCAAACCAGTAATTCATAGCCCACAATAAACAACATCTTTGAGAAATAAAATGTCATATGTAGTGAATTTTCCAAATAATCAATATATACTTTTACGTTATCAACACTTTTTTTTTTTTTTTTACAATTTACCATTACCATCACTTTTTTTTCCCCCATTACTATCACTTTTAACTACATAGGGAACAAAATCTACCAAATAAACATGGATATATTATGTGGTTTAAACACACACACAAAAAAATTCATTCTTAATGAATTGTGACATTTAGAAATCACAATAACATAAAAACTTAAAAACTCTCATGCTTAATAACATAATTCTTGAATTCTATAATAGGATAGAACTATATGTGAGATCACCCTCAAGAAATCTAAAAATTATTTAATTCTGATCACTGACTTTAGAAGTCTGAGATGTCCACACTTAAAAAGTAAATAATTACTTCAATGAGCTATCATTTCTTCATCATATCTGGTACTTAAGTGAGATCAAACAGGACCCTGACTCCCTTGTTTGAAACCAAAAGTGGCTCCTCTACCCAATTTCATCTTTCTTCCAGTCCATTTTCCACTCATACAGTGATCTAAAATATAAATTTGAACATGTCAATCCTTTGCTTAAAATACCTCAATAGATCCCCATTGCCAATAGGATAATTCCAAACTCCTTATGCAGGTTCTTTATGATTTAATCCCCCCCGCCCATTTCCAGCCTCATGTCTTGCCACACTACACCCATAACCCCTGCTCCCCAACCATAATTATACAATTTCCTCCCTACTCCCTCAAACACACAACCGCAACAGTCTATATACTTCAGCACCACTGAACTACTTTCCGCTCCCTAAACTTGCCAAACTTTTCTTCTGGATAAACAGGCAAATCCTCTGCCTCAGATATTATTCCCTTCACTATCGATCTTGTAACTCACAAACTGCTACTCACTGCCTGGATTCAACTTAGATATTATCTCCTGCTGAGCTAGAATCCTTGTTCTTCCATAAACTGGGCTTTGTTAATTCACCCAGCCCATTGACATCACTACAAATAGTGAGGTTAACAGAAAGGTAACCTTGGGCAGGTTATTTAAGCCTCAATTTCCTAATTAGTAAGATGAAAGCAGTATCTGTTTTAAGAGGCTACACTGAGGATTATATGACCAATTCTGTTTTCAAATTGTACATATATCTCTGCCTCAAACACTAATCCTGTATCCTGCTCCCGTCTCCTCTTCTCATCATGAAGGCCTTCTCCTAAGTTGGAAGTCTGTTAATATACTCTTACAAGACTCTATTTTTCTTTCATGCACCGAAAGCACTCGGTGGCCATTATTTTGTTCATAATTATATTCCCTTGGGCTTTGCTCAGTGCCTATACGGTAAATGTATGACTTATTAAGTGATTGTTGGTTATTTTTGTAATTGCCTACAAAATACCTGTCCTTCCCACTACATTATAAGAATCATGTCTCCTATATGTCTCTAGTGACAAATGTAGTAACTGATACATAACTGACCCCAAATACACATTTTCTGTATGAATAAATGAATCCACTGTTTGATCTTAGCCAAGTTGTTTAACATCACTAAGTCTGTTTCTTCATCTGCCAAACTGAGATAAACTTCGACCTTGCAGGGCTATGGAGAGGACTAAGTAAGTGTAGGTACTCAATAATATTAGTTCTCTCCACTACCCTCCTCTCCTACCTTCAACTAACCAACCTTTCCTTGTATATTTTGTATCTCTCTTCATGTTAGTATATTACTATTAGTCAACTCTGGCAAAGAAAAATGGTGTAAGCTTTCATCAATTTCCATAGCAAAGGAAAGGAAAGACCTGGTTAACTTAAGGTCCTTAAATCATCTATATGCAGAAATAAATATAAACTACCCACTCCACTGGTCATCTCTTCCAAGGAGGAGATATATTTGTATTTCCCCTCACTCGTTCAAGGCGTGCCAAACTGAGTAAAACGACATTTAAGTCTCCTTCTGATTTTACCTGGGCCACCCTCAACAAAGTCTGTACCAGCAGAGTGTTCTGAGGAATTCCAAGCTTCACTATGGCATGAAGACTGAACAGTACGTGATCATAGTGCATGATCTTGGCTTCCCTCAACGTATGTTCACACAGCTGATGAAACGCAGGGTGGTTAAACATCAGCTGTTTTTCAACGCGCCTCTGGTCCTCAGACATCCTTTTGGCGACTGTCCACATTGCTGAAAAATAGTTACTACTGGGGAAAGTAGGTCCTTTTGAAAATATGTCTAGCACATCACTCAGAGAACTACACTCCTGAGACAGTTTTCTAAGGCTGACAGGGGATGGTTTTGTTTCCTTGGTGAGCACATCTTCATTGGAGGCCTCATGATGAAAGTTTATCTTCTTCAATCCGTTATCAGAGACAGAATGTTTTGAATCAAAGGACAGTCTTCTGGGACAAAGCAGTCTGTTGACTGTATGGACTATTTCAGGGCCTATGCCCTGAAAATTATCTCCTGACTTAAAAATCAAGGCGTCCTGAAAGAGGTATCTAACAGATGACTGCACTCTATTATCGAAGTCACCGAAGAGAAGGTTTCTTGGGTTCCAGTTTGAATGGACAATTTTTGGTCTGGAAACTCCCAGCCTCCTAGTTCTGCTTGTTGGAACTAACGTACTGAAAGGTCTGAGGTTCCGTAAAAAGGAACCCGCTCTGTTAGTCATTGTGCTATCCTCTCCAGTACTTTCAAACCCCTTTAAAGTAGTCTACCCAACACAAATGCCACTTGTAGGAGTGAAAGAGAAGGCATGCCCGCTGTTTTCCTGTAGGGGAAGGAGTTATAAAAGACATAAAAAAATCAAAGCAAGATTTTAATTTTTAAGAAACGAAATCAATTTAACGCACACAAAAGTGGGAACCTATAGGGACATTAAAGATTAAAACGGGGGCAGCCCTGGTGGCTCAGCGGTTTAACGCCTGCCTTTGGCCCAGGGCGTGATCCTGGAGACCCGGGATCGAGTCCCACGTCGGGATCCCTGCGTGGAGCCTGCCCCTCTCCCTCCCTCCCTCTCTCTCTCAGGAATAAATGAACAAAATATTTAAAATAATAAAGATGAAAACGGTAAAACTACTTTACCAATGCGGGCCTCCTCCCACTTCTCCCACAATGTATAAACTGTCTTTGAGAAGCCAGGTAAGTTTGCGGTCGACCGTCGGGAGTTTAAAAAATAAGTAAGTGAAATTTCTCATGAAAAGTGTTCCCACACGGTTTCCTATGAAGAAAGGGAGGGATTTTACGTTACCACCGCTTTGGTGATGTCGTCCACGAAAAAGTTCGGACGGCTGACGGATACTTTTTTTAACACGAAGACTTAGCAACGGCCGACCCCGGACTGTAAAGAATAGGGACTGAGACAAGTAGAACGCTGAGGAGAGGAAGCGACACCCCAAAGGGACAGTCGCATGCGGCCTGCGCTGGGGAGGGGGACACAATCAGCCAGTATCACCAGAGCTCCTCAAGGGTTAGGAGCCAGTCTTTTCGCAGCTGGGCCACCTACCATTTACCCACCCGCTAAAGTCAAGCCCCAAGCAACTCGTTCGACCCTCCTCCAGCAGTCAAGAAGTCTACAGCGCGTAGCACCACCAACTGCTCCGCCTGGGCTCGAAGCCCACTCACCTGAGGTCAGAACCCCACGGTTCTATACGGGCGCAGCCATGACAGCTTCCCCCCCACCCCCGCGAGCCGCGCGTATCGCGAGATTTTACGGATCCTTCCGAGGTCAAAAAGCTTACGTTCCCGGCAGTAGGAGAGGCTTGCTCGGCAAAAGGAAAGCCTACCGAAGAGAACGACTGGTTTCCTTGGGTTCAGGGATTGGGGGGGACAGGGGAGCGCATAAAGCTTTTCAAGGTAATGTGTGATCGTGTTCCCCAAGACCTAAGCTCTCCGTCCGGGACCCCGGACCCCGCGCTCGGTTCACAGTGCGCCTGCGCCACGCCGTGGTTGCCAGGAAACCGCCCCGCCGCGATTTCTGCCGGAGTGGAGGCTTTAACATGGCCAAGTTCGTGCTTGCGGGTGAGTGAGCCCCGCGTCCTCCCGCAGATCGCTCGAAACACCGACGACTACTCGCCTCCTGTGGACGCTGGGCGGTGATCTTCGTAACTGCCTTTTGTTCTAGCAATTCCAGCCCCTTATATGGACCACCCCAGGCTTCTTATGCCTCCATTCAAAGATGTTTATTGAGCAGGGTCCTGTGCAAAGCACCCCGACGCTGGGGAGGTAGTGGGGGAAAGGATACACCCGGGCCTTGGAGACCTTTCAGTGTCACGGAGTACAGAAGCACGTAAACAAATAATTTTGATCCGTCCTAATTAATGAAATAAGGGAGATGTGCGCAGGGCTCTGGGAGGTGTTGCAGGAGCTGATTTGTGAAGGTTTGGGATAGGGAGGCCATTCCAGATTAAGGCACAGAGGCTGGAAGTCTCGTGGCCTAATGGAGGAACTAGATATGGAGGAAGTGACTGGACCTGGGGCTACAATGGGAGCAGCAACCAGATCCTTGCACCCGAAGTGCGCCCGACAAAGGTGTTTGAACTGGGAGCGGTGAGGCGTCTTAAGAATTTTTTTAAAGCAGGAGAGCATCCTTAACGGGTTTGCATTTAGGAAGCCCACCCTTGTCAGCAACGGAGGAGAAGGATTGAAAATGGGCCCTGACATCCAGAATGTCACTAAAGGGTCTTAGTAAAAGCAACAGGCTATTATTGTACTTGCCCCCAACGCTTCTCAGCAAGTTTCCTGAAAGAGTAGGAGGCTTTTGTATCGTCTTGGACTCCGTCTGCCTTCTACTTCGGCCTCCTTTCAGAAATGGCCTTCACCAAAGTCACCAAAGACTTTTACAGAAGCTGTCCAGTCCTAATTTGAACTTTCCGATGTATTAACACAATTGACATTTCCCATCTGCCCGGAAGTCTATTTCCGTTGCTGCTGCTGCTGCTTCTCCTTCTCCTTCTTCTTCTTCTTCTTTTTTTTTTAAGATTTCATGAGAGACATAGAGACAGACAGAGAGAGAGGCAGAGACACAGACAGAGGGAGAAGCAGGCTCCATGCAGGGAGCCAGATGCGGGACTCCACCCTGGGTCTCCAGGATCAGGCCCTGGGCTGAAGGCGGTGCTAAACCCCTGAGCCACCCAGGGATCCCTCCTTTGCTTCTTTATTCATCCAGAAGAACTTTTTTGAGTACTTACTGACTATATGCTGAGAAGGCAGTGACACAGGAACTTGCAAAGAATGTTGCATGTGTGCCAGCGGCAGGGTGGGTTCTGTAGGAGCAGTGGCAGGAGCCTTGAGTCAGACTTCCCGGAGGGAGTGGTTTTTTAAAGCAGAGATCTTTAAATAGAGAGTTACCAAGCCGAAAGAAAGTAGGGAAGAAAAGAGTAATTAATGCAGAGATGATAGGACTGGGGTGGAATGAGGAAAGCTAGTTTGGTAAAGATTGAGAATGCACAATAAACAGAAAATGGAAATAGATTTAGGAGGATTGTAGCAAAGGGTACAAGAAAGAGAGTATCATACACTGAGCCAGAATTAGATATAGATTCTTATGAGCCATGGTCAGTATTTAAAATTTTATCCAAAATACATGGAAGGCTTTTGGAAGGAGAGACATAATCAAATTTGCATTTTATCCTAATGATATTCTCTATGGGAAGAAAAAGAGTAGATCCCAAGACCCCAGTTAGGTGCAATAGTCCAAGAAGGAGGTGGCGGTGGCTTAGCCTAGGATGGCAGGCAATGGAAATGGAAGGAAGTGAGTGGGCGGGAGAGATATTAGGAGGGCATAATTCATAGAGCTAGATGTCTAACTGGGTGGAGGAAGGCAAAGGAGAAGAAAAAGTTAAAGTTATTTCCAAACAGTGGTTTGGAAAAATGGGTAGATGACGATTCACTGAAAAAAAAAAAAAAGTGGAAAAGTAGGCTTAATACTGTGGATACTCTCAATTCTCTTAAACAACTGCATAGATGAACATAAAGAACATAAGAGAAGGAGCAGATTCAGTGGGGGAGTTGTGGCAAAATTGTCTTAGACGCTCTGAGTGTCTATGAGACATTCAGAGGGAAATGGGAAAATGCAGGAAGGCATAAACATCTAGATAAGACCATAGTTCTGAACCGGATATGCAGATTGCTACTTGAAACCAAGGGAGTGGAGGAGATTAACCAGGAAGAATGCATAGGTATGAAGATGCCTTGAAGAATACTAACATTTAGTGGATTGATAAAGGAATAAGAACCTACAAAGTAAAGTGGGAATGGCCAGAGAAGTAGGACAAAAACCTGAAAAATGACCCCACCATAGTCAGTGTTTCAGAAGGACAGAAGAGGGCAAGTGCCAACAAGAAAATCTCTACAAGAGAAGGATCAAAATGTATACACTGAGTGTAAAGACTTGGAGGTCCTTGATAGAGAATTATGGTTAAAGCCAGGTTGCAGTGGGATGGGAAATAAATGGAAGTGAAGAACTGGGGATGGCAAGTGTAGAGAACTCTTTCAAGAAGTTATAATAGAAAAATACAAGTAGAATGCAACAGCTAGAGAGGGACATAGGTTTTTGTTTCTCAAGACAGGAGAAACAAATATAACTTGGCTATATTTAAATAGGATAGAAAAGGACCATTAAGAACAGATAAGATGCTGAAAGAGAGGTTAACCAATGAAGCAGAGTTGGTGGCAGTTCTGAAGGAGGAAGAGGGTGGTGTTCAGAGCATAAGTGGTGAGGTTAGAGCTGGACAGGAGGTAGGAGCTGTCTTCCATGAATAGGAGAAAAAAAGGAAAGGATGAATCCCAACGCAGACAGCCTGTAAGTATGATGGTAGGGATTAGGGGATTTCCCAGATGATGCCATTTTGTATGATTTGGGTTTTTTTTTTTTTAAGATTTTATTTATTTATTCATGAGAGACACAGAGAGGGAGCCAGAGACATAGGCAGAGGGTGAAGCTGGCGCCTTGCAGGGAGCCCGATGCAGGACTCGATCCCAGGACCCCAGGAACACGAACTGAGCCAAAGGGAGATGCTCAACTACTGAGCCACCCAGGTGCCCCTGTTTTTGTTTTTGTAAAGTAAAAAGCAAGGTTATCTCTCTGGCAGTGTGGGAAAATGAAGAGAAGGAAGAGGTTTGCGGGAAATGGTCATATTTGGAACAGTAATTGTGGAGAACAGAAGAGAATGCTGATAAGGAAAATGGAAGGATCTCCAGGCAGAGTTGAAGTCCAGTTGAGGCTAGAGACCATGAATTTATAATGGTGCCCCTCTGCTTGCTTCTACCATGTTTCTCCAGGGGTGCCTAGTAGATGGAACCCAGAAACAAAAAAGGCAGGTAACAGTTCATCCAGGGTGAGAGGCTTTTTACCAGGCCGATTTGCCAGAACCATAGTGGGGCAAGACAATTTAAAACATGGGCCACAGAGTGTGGTTTGAATCATGAACCATGGATTTGAACTAAACAGAGAGGCTAACGGGGAGTGGTTGAGATGGTTGATGTCTTAGAAGTTGCCAGGAGTTAAGATCTCTTGGTTGGGAGTAACTGGGGAAGATTGTTGCAGAAGATGTTCTGCCCTTGGCCCCTGGCCCTCCTACTCCATCAGACTCCCAATCCATCTACTCTGGTGGTTTTAACTTCCTGGGTGTTGAGGCTACAAAGTCTGTATCTTAAGCCTTTACACAGGGCCTGCACTTCAGACCTACAGGAACAGCCACCTGCGGGTCGTTTCCACTTAGATACACTGCACGTGCTTCCAACTGCACTTGTCTGTAATTAAATGTCTTAATGTGTGGTTTCTTTTTAGTAAGTGCAGGATCATTTACCCAAGCCAGAAAATAGAAGTTATCCCAGATTCTTCTCTCTCCCTCAGCTTCACTAGTATCATTCCCAGCAGCACATATCAAATCTACATGTGATTTTACCACCACTCCTCCCTTCACATTTTGCCTTTTAGTGGCTACTAATGAGTAGTCAGTTCATTCCTGGTAGTTCATGCTCAGTTAGTAGCATGACAGCCCCTTAGAGGAGAGTAAATATCCTATATACTTTGCTTCTTTCCACATTTTATTAAGATTCTCACCTCCTATGAAATAATTTTGTTTTTGCTACTGTTATAAAAATCAGAAGTTTATATGGTGGCAGTGCATACGATAATTCTATATTATAAAATAGAACTGTATGTTTCTGTTATATGACGAATACTTGTAACTACATGATAATTTCTGTGTGATATCAAAAAATATTGCAAATTTGAACTCTTTTAGGTAGAGCAGATTGCCCATATTATGCCAAAGCAGAACTTCTAGCAGACTACTTACAAAAGAATCTTCCTGATTTTCACATACATAAAATTACACAACATCCTCATGTTTGGGAGGTAAGAAACTTTTATTGTTTGTTAAACTCACACACTCACAAAACTGTGGTCTAATTTAATGAAATATTAACCAATGTATCAGATGGGCTTCTAATAATGAATGTTCATGTACTACTGATATTTTAACACTAATAAAATTCTTACTTCGCAGTCTCAACATTATATGTTTTTTCTTCCTTGTACCTAATAAAACAAATGAGGTCCTAACCAATCAGTAGAATAAATTTAGCTGTTTTTTCTCCCAAGAATCCAGGTTATCTATGTTATCCTTCCTAACTTTTCATTCTCCTTCATTTGATTTCTAACGACACAAGGCACTTTCTTATTTGAAATACCCTTCTTTGGAGCTGCGTTTCCCCACAAACAGAGGTTTGGGGGAAGGAGTTTCCTTTACGGGGGTGCTCTTGAGAGCAATGCTCTGGGAAAGAATGAGGATAGCAGTGTTGTGCAAGGGCGAAGATGAACCACCATGCTGCTCAGCCAGCCCTGACCTCTGAAGCTGTGGTGGCCCTGGAGAGATACCCCAAATACAGGCAAAGGGACTGGGCTCTTGTACTTGTACAACTAATAATCCTTGGATGCAGGCTACCTTGGACAGGGGACTTAACTCTGGGCAGGAGAACTTCTATGAGGTCGGTTTCTGGAGAGAGAGACTCAGCACTGAGCTATCAGCAGCCAGTACACCTGGTGGCCCAGGGAATGAGTGTCTTGGTCATGAAGGGGGAATCTGAACGACATATAACAGGATCTGCTACAATTCACCAGATTATATGAATCTGTATGCTCCATATAAGTTCATACCATCCAGGAGCCCCAATTATGGGGCTCTGGTTGGCGTCTTTCCCTGAGGAAACTTTACAAGAGTACGGCCAGTCAAAAGGACCATAGTTTCTAATGCGTATCATTTTAGGGCTGTAACTGACCACATCACCTTTCTTGGCTATGATCTGATGTCCATCCTCCTCACCCTCTGCTGGTCTAGGTGATTTATGAGGCATGATGACCTAGACCTGTATCCTTAGGGGTCTGAGTCCTTGTCTCCACTCCCTTGTCAGGATGTGACTGCAGCACATGTACAGTTGCTGTCAAAATTGAGCATGGCAGTACCAACAATGCCCCAGTGGATCACCCAGATACCAAATATTCTTTCCTGCCCACATACCCCTGATCAACAGGGCAGTTACTCCTTCCAGGATGGTAACTCCTTTCCTTGACTCTTAGCACAGGGGCTAAAAGTGACCAAGCAGTAGCCATAGCTTAAAGTTTAATGGAACTCTTCCTAATAGAAACACTCTTGCACTTCTGGAATTTAGAACCTCCAGACACATAGAATCCAGAGTTAAATGGACTTGGGGAAGCACAAATTCTCCAAGTGGGTCACTGGGAGAGATGGTAAATGAGATCACTCTTAACTCCATCTGTTGGTTCCTGGATTCATGTATTGCACCTAGTGGGGGAAAGCACTCTATTGGTTCATAGTATATTTTGATCCTGAAAGACAGTGCTTTATCCTTACAATATAGCAACCCAAGCACCTTCAGTGGACTGTCCTATCTATCAGGCTGCTAGGTGACATGATATATGATAGGGCCAGTGCATCCCATGGTGACGTGCCCAATTCCACACATGCTTTACTCAAAAGTGGTTCAAAGTGATGTTATGCAGAATCCCATATTGCTGGGTTGAACAGTTTATAAGCTCTTGGGCAGGGTACTGGCCAAAGCCCTACAAGCAGAAAGGCATTTCTTTACCCAGAGTATATGTTGATTCTAGCCAAGATGAATCACCGCCCTTTCTAGGATGGAGGGGGTGCAGTGTTATCAACTTGCCACTGAGAGGCTGGTTAACATCTTTGAGGGATAGTGCCATTATCAAGGGGTGAGTGTTGGTCTTTGGTGCTAGCACATTGGACATGCAGCAGCAACAATGGCTCAATCAGCTTTGGTGAGTAGTGGCTTGTTTTCTAGGGCCGTAGCATCACCTCTGTCTCTTTTGTAAGCCCATTGTGCCTTCAGCTAAGTTACCTTATCTGCTGGGTTGTTTCGTGCTCTTATCAAAATAGATGTTCTCTAGTGGGCACTGCCCCCACCCCCGGCCTCTTTTATTTCAGGATTCTGTCAACACTGATTCCATCAGGGAGTCTAGCTCTATAACAGAATGTTCTTTAATAGCTGTGGCCTAGCATGGGCAGCCACACCAGGCTTCTCAGGATGCTGAGAACCTATCACCAGTACAGTCCAGTACATCCTCTCAGGATGCTGAGGATGCACCAGTACAGCATCTCAGGATGCTGAGAACCTATCACCAGTACAGTCCTTACCACTTTGATGAATGGAGTGTCCTCTGGGTGCTTGTGGAGAACAAAATGGACTAGTAGGTTTCCAGCCTTCCATAGTAGCATAGCCACTCCAGCATACTCATTTTTCTAAGCGTTTTGATTCCTTCTTCCATCATTTTCCATGGACATTCTGGTATTTGTTTCATTTCACATGAACCATCACCTTCTCCAAACTTTGAAGAGTCATCCTAGCAACATGTTACCTCTGTCTTCTGAGGTTCTTGCCAGGATATGTACCCTTGAGTTGCAGGAGAGTGATTTATATTGATAAATTTTCCCTTGTCCAACTTGATGGTCCACTCTTGATTCTGCACCCTCAGGTTCTAGCCCCATACATACGCCCCCAGCTCCTACCAAGACATCAACATGCCCCACTTGGTGCTGCAGGTCCTTTGGGGTAGAGTCCCTTTCTCCAGGGGCCTGGCACTTCACTGGTCAGGCTATGTAATGACCAGGGGGACCATGCTGGAATCCTTACAATAGCATTTACTTCAAGGAAAGATAAAGGCAGAGAGATCTTCATCATGAAGAGAAATTGGTTTCTAAGATTTTATGTGTAAGGAAACTTCATTTCACATGCCTCCAATGATAAGAATTCTGGCCTGTACTTAATTCACAAGAATGTTGCTTTTGTCTCTATTCAGCTCTTTTCATTGGAAGGCCTGGGCCACACAAACCAGATAATGATGATTTAAACTTTCTCTGATGAGTATTATTAGAAACCCACAGATAACTTTTAGCTCATTAATTCAGTCTGAATGACAAACTATACCCACATATTTGGAAAGCAATATCAAATTTATGTGGCCCTAAGACTGGAAATATATAAGAGCAAGGGAAGAACCAGTTGAATTTTTTTTAAAAGATTTATTTATTTATTTATCATAGACAGAGAGAGAGAGAGAGAGAGAGAGAAGAGAGGCAGAGACACAGGAGGGGGGAGAAGCAGGTTCCATGCTGGGAGCCTGACGTGGGACTCGATCCCGGGACTCCAGGATCGCGCCCTGGGCCAAAGGCAGGCGCTAAACTGCTGAGCCACCCAGAGATCCCCAACCAGTTGAATTTTTTTGAAATCAGATGAGTTGGAAGATTCGGCTTCTCTTTTAAGTTGACCACTTGGATTCCCGGTCTCCTTGGCAAAGAGAGCAACTTTCAGTACCTTCATTTGGTCAGCAAATTTGAAGACTAGTCTTTCATATTTGATTAATTTGTTACTTAACTCACCACTATTTTATCTATTTACATTTTACAGTGTAAAGATATCTAAATTTTATTATGTATACTCAGTGGTAGTAAAAAAAAAAAACAACAAGCTAGTTCATGTCTGAATTCTGAAGTATCGAACTGAATTCTGAGAGAGATTCAATGGATGACTTATCTTGGAATATCATTCAATAGGAGTGGTTAAAAGATCTGTGTGAAAAGAATAAGTGGAGTCACAAAAACTCCCCCATCATCTGGAGAGAGCTATTGGACCGTGGAGGAGAGGGGTTGCTTTTGGGAGGATATAACGAGTTCCTGGAATACGCCCAGGTATATGAATTAAGATGGTTTTTCTGCTCAAAACATTACCATTCTCTTATGTTGTTCTTCAACTGTCTTGCTTTCCAAAGTATTCTCCTAGCTTTCTTTTTATTCTATTCTGGCTTTCAACAAGAACTTCCCATTATAATCCTTGTCAGCTGATTATTCTCAGTGTTGACTTTTTCTTTCCTAATATTTAGCTTTACCATGGTGTCACCTCTAGCATGACTACTGAGCTGATGAAGATAATTGCTCAAGAAAACCTGGAGACACATGTAGAAAAAGAACTGGAGGAAGAAGCCAGGAAAGACCTCATCAACCCTTTGCAGGTCTGGATCACCAGGTAGGACAGCTGAACTCCAGGATTCATGAGATTGGGTGTTCCATTTGGAAAGGATAACAATGTGGGGTTAAGTCCATGATGGAAGAACAGCTGAATGTCAAGTTTGAGATTCACATGCATTTATATGTACATGTGTGGATACATGTATCTGTACATATATATCCCCCAATATAGCTTCATGTTTAAGTTTTAGGTTATGGGTGTATGTATGTACACACATGTGTGAAATCTAAGAGCAACTGTATCACAAAGATCATTACTTTGATAACCCTGTCTGCATCTCTTGTCCCCTCATTCTGTGTCTCTCATGTTGTCTGCTGCTGGCCGTCTTACTCTTTGCCTTGCCACCCTTCCTTCCCATTCTCTCCCTTTCTTTCTCCTCTTCCCACTCCAGTCTCACTGCTGCCCTCCTGCTCTCTCCCACCTGCTACAGCTGACCTTAGCTCTTCCTCTGTAACCTCATGTTGTGTGCCCGCCTCAATGACCAATGTTGTGGCTGGACCAGCCTGTGGTTCTTATTACAATTACAAGACACCCTCAGCAATAACCATCAGGAAACTTGGGGAAAGGGGGTCTGTTACTTACACATCCTGGAAATTACACAGCACCCCTGAAGCCACACAGTGAAGTCACCAGTGGGAAGAGAGAGAGAACATGTGAGCACACATGGGTCTAGGGCTCTGCTTTTATTGGGGTTGAGAGTGGGGGTCTTGGGTTTTGTGGGCTCACCCTCTACTGCTGAATTTAAAACCTAAGAGTGGAAATGTAAAGCTTGGAAAGAGAAAAAAAGAAGTGGCCCAGATGGCCAGTTATTGACCTCAGAGATCTCTAAAACACCCAAGCCTCAGTGTGGGGAAGGCTCCTGGATCTTTAGCAGTGTGGTTTCAGTGTGTTTATTCCAGATAGCCATCTGTGAAGTGGATACCTCCTTGGCAATGAAAACTTATAAAAAGAAGAAAAAAGACCCAGTTTATACGATACCTCAGTTTTGCTCTTTACTTTTCCTCCTCTCTCGCTCCTCACTGAGTTCAGTGTTGGGCACATTTATCTGTACATGTCTTTGTTCACACCCTTTGTCTGTCTCTGCATTCCATCTCATCTCTCTCTGTGTGTCTCTTCCTATTCTTCTTGCTCTATCTCTCCCTCCCCAGCCCTCACTGTGTCTCTCACACTGCCCTTCTTTCTTACTACGCATGCACGTGTCCTAATATACATGCTCCTTTGGAAGATTATTTGTTATGAAGTATTTCAATACAAAAAAGAATTAAGAATGACATAATAAGCATAAATATGAACCTCACACCCAGATTTAATAAATATGATCTCTCCCTTAGATATTTTTTAAAGGATTAAAATGGTACAGATACTGTCAAAACCCTCTTTGAACCCCTCCCCAAACGCACTGTGAAAATCAAAACTGCCCAGACGCATTTCCAAGCTCCCATCAGGGTCTTACCTCTCTTGATTGGTAGCCAAGCTATAAAGTACCCAGGTACTTGCCGAATTGTGGGTATAGGTACATAATACCTAGCCCATGCTGCTCTCAGGATTCTTTGCAAGGATTTAGAGAAGATAATCCTTTCCCAAAAAATGTCATTACTTTGTAGGTGAGGGTATAAAGTAGAAAAGAGCTATGGTTAAAGAAAACTTGTTACTTCTTTACCTTTTTAAAAGAAAGTGTAAACAGATAATTAGAGTAATATGACACCATTCTTTTGAATTTTTCTTTCTGCATATTCTATTTTATTGGAAAAAGTCATTTAAACAGGTACATGTCTTATTTTGGGATTGTTTTCAGATGGCCAGAGCAAGGGATGAGTAGTAAGAATTTTTTCTCTCAATTTTTGCTCTCTCACCTTAAAAAATCTATGCAGCTGTTAGGCCTATTTGAGATATTAAATCATCCTATTAATGCACACACAGAAATATCTATTAAGAATAAAGGCTTGCCAGGAACAAAAGATTTAACCATTCATAATCTGGCTTTGCATTTTTACTAGTGCCTCTGTTCCTGTCTGCTACAACCTAATTCCCATCTTGACAAGTGGCGAAGTGTTTGGGATGCACACAGAAATCAGCCTAAATCTATTTGACAATAAGGAGGCAGAAGAAAATCTCCGCAGTGTTGTGGCAGAGACTCAGGACCTGGTGGCACCCTTGCTCCAGAGCATCTCCATCTGCACCCGAGTGGAGGACGCCTTCCGCCAGGCCCACGTGGTCATCATCCTGGATGACAGCACCGACCAGGAGGTGTACACTCTAGAAGGCTGCATCCGAAGCAGGCTGCCTCTGTGTAGACTCTATGGATACCTGATCGAGAAAAATGCTCATGATTCTGTTAGAGTTATTGTGGGAGGAAAAACGTTTGTGAATCTGAAAACGGTTTTGCTTATGAGATATGCCCCAAACGTGGCACACAACATCGTCGCTGTGGCACTGGGTGTGGAAGGCCAAGCCAAAGCTGTGCTGGCCAGAAAACTGAGAACAACCCCCTCATGTGAGTAAGCTTCTGTTTCTGTTTCTGTTTCTGTTTTTAAACAACATGATTTCAAAGCAGCTAGGAAAAACACCACAACCTTTAGGATTATTCCGGATGCCTGGAATAGAAAGTATGAAGCAGATATAAAGAACTTCTTATTGTGTGATTTGACTACCGTGCGAACATCTTTTTTTTTATTTTAAAAATTTTATTTTATTTATTCATGAGAGACAGAGAGAGAGAGAGAGAGAGAGAGAGAGAGAGAGAGAGAGAGGCAGAGACACAGGCAAAGGGAAAAGCAGGCTCCCTGCAGGGAGCCTGATGTGGGACTCAATCCCGGGTCTCCAGGATCAGGCCTGGGGCTGAAGGTGGCGCTAAACACCTGGGCCACCGGGGCTACCCTGAACATCTTTTTCTTACCGTTTTTCATGACTAGCTAACTTTGTCCATCACTTTAAAAATGAATAAACAAATGTTTAATAAGATTTCTGTATTTCAAGTTATAATTTGAAACCTAATATTTCAATTTTCCATAATGATAGTCAACTAAGGTAATCACTTCTTTTATTAAAAAAAAGTCATCAGGGGTGTGTTTAAGTGGCTCCACCCCACTTCCCCACCCATGTGACCTGGGGCAATGCCTTGCTGCGCCTCCATTTCCTCCTGTAAAATGAGGATGTTAATAGCACTTGCCTCCTAGCCCTGGCATGAAGATTCAAAGAAATACTATTTTGAAAGTGCTTAGAAAAGTGGCCGGTGCCCAGTAAACATTTGCAAGGGTATTAAACTTGTCCATGGGATTGTGATATCTGATTGGCTTCTGCCCCGAAATTAGTTTTTGAACGAGTAGACATCTGAGGCACATGAGGATCAGAAAACGGATTGTTGTATTTAAAAGGGGAGTGCTGTGTTTAAAACTATTTATCATCTTTGACACGTTTTAGCTGTCGGTACCTTTAGATGGAGGAGGCACAACAAAGCCCATTGAGAACACAGGTTGGTTCATGGCATTCCCTCAAGACAATGGGGAGACAATGAAATGTGAGCCTAGCATGCTGTAAAGCGGAGCTATAAAGGACTTCGGTGAGCCCCTAATACATTAGATAGAGCAAGAGCTGTATCACCCATTTCTTTACAGTGAAGCCCTAGAAGCATGTCTGGTACTCCTGCATACAAATCTTCAGTGCCTCACCCCAAGTTCAGTAATTACCTTAGCCGAATTGCTATAAAATTATTCAGTAGGAAAGGAAAACATTTTCTGATCCTTTTATCTGTGTGCCAATCTTGCATACAGATATGTAGACACTGCTTTATACAAAAGATTTCCAATAAACTGAGCAAAGTGCCAAGAAGAGGCAGTGTTATGAAGTTTAAAACAAGACAGAGGTAATCACCTGGGTGGCTCCGTGGTTGAGCATCTGCCTTTGGCTCAGATCTTGATCCCAGGGTCCTGGGATCGAGTTCCATATCGGGTGAGGGGAGCCTGCTTCTCCCTCTGCATCTCTCTGTGTGTCTCTCATGAATAAATAAATAAAATCTTTAAAAAACCAAACCAAAACAAGGTGAGGGCTTTCAACCAGAAAGCTGCTCTCATGTGGGTCTGCTGGTGCCACAAATTGTAAGCTCTCCTGTACCCAAAGCCAATAAGCATATGAGAAGCAGAAGAAAGAGAAATGGAGAAACATTGGGTACAGGAGAGAGAGAGACATTAGAGGGACAGCAGTCAACTGAAACTGTCAACAGAGTAGCAATGAGAAACTTCACACCGACAAAGACAGCTAAGCAAAGGCACCTGAAACCATCAAGAAGAATCGTTCAGGGAACAGTCCAGATGCCAAGAGGGTAGAGGACCTTTTCAGGATATCCCTTGAGTTCAGTTCATGCAGAGCCCTGCTTCTCAGACCATGCGTATTGGCTTGGTTGGAACTCTTTCTGTTGCAAATGACAGAAAGTCCACTCAAAGCGACTGAAATCAAAGAGAGCTTTTTTCCAGGCATAGATGGATGCTGGGGCTCAGACAATGATGTCAGGACTGGCTTGTGCTCTCTCTTGACCTATGGCTTGGTCCTGCTCTCCTCAGCATTGGCTAGATTCTCAGGCAGGCTCTCTGTACAAAATGGCAAAGTTGCCACTGGTGTCTCCAGACTCATGCATTCATAGCTTAGCTTACTCCCGTAGAAAGAGGGCTTGCTCTCTCAAATGTACAAAAGTAGCAGGATAATATCTCATTGGCCAGGCTTGGGCCATTTGCCCATCTCCAAATTAATCATCGTGGCCAGAAGTCTGGAATCTGGGACTCATGCCTATTGATAGACCCAAGGGGTGAGGAAAGCCCCACCCAAACCATATGGACTGAAATTGAGAAAGGGTAGTTATTTAAAGGAAAACCAGCATGCTGTTATAGAAAAACAGTAGTTAGAAGTGTTAGGAGGAAAAACAGCAGATGTCCACTATAAATTTCTCTAGCAGAGCTATATAGAGCCTTAAGTCTGATAAGAAAAATTATTTCCCCTACTGCCTGCCTTTGGACACAACCATGTGAGAGTGTGATACTTGGAGCTGCTGCAGCTGTTTTAGGACCATGAGGGCCAGCCAAGAGAATGGCATCTTTGAGCTGCTGAGCAAGCACCAGTGTCACTGCCTACCTCAACTTGTTATTGTCTGAGAAAAGTGAACTCCTCCTAGTTAAGCCAAGGCAGAAGGGTATTCCGTTACTTGAAACCAAACAGCTATCTTAACCTCATGCACAACAGTAGAGAATTTAATCTCCACCGTAGGAAATGATATGACCTTATAAGAGAATTAAGTCTTTAAGCAAATAAATAAGGTAAAAAATAAATTAATAAAATTACTTATTTTCACTTCAAGTACAACATTCCTAGAAGATCCATGGTTTTAGAACTATATTAAATTTTAATCTCTATTTCTCTCTAACCCCTGTCCTCTTATTTTCCTTCACAGTATGTATTATTTTTTATAGTAGTTGCTTTCTTACTCGTTCCCCTCAACCCCCAGAATGATGCAAGGATTTGGGCTGATGTGTTTCCTTCTAAACATGTCCTTCTACCGAAAAGTGCCTCACACATAGAAGCTAATTATTTGTTGATTAGATGTTCCTGGGGGTCCTCTTATTATAACACCCTCCTTCTACAGGAAACGAAACCCATCTAGGAGTTAAACAATTTGCCCAAATTTCTATTCCAGTCCAGAATTAAGAACTTTTCGTCAGCACCGAAGCAGACAAAAAGTTCTCCTAATAGCAAGCAGAGTGGTTAAGTTAGGACCACACCAGTGGTATGATTTTCAGTAGCAACTTCAGTATTTCTTGAATTCACTCATATGCCCTACATATGAGCATGATTAGGAATTGCCAAATCCTGATGATTCAGAAAATCATCCACGTCATTTATACATTTGGGAGGAACATAAACTTAGATCATTTTATAGCAAAAAGATAAGTCCTAAAACACTCAGACAAAAAACAGACTGCAGACAATTTTTTATATTAATGCTTATTATTACGTTAACTTTAAATTTCTTTTTCTTCACAGGCATCAAAAATGTGATCATCTGGGGTAATATTAGTGGAAATAACTACATTGATCTGAGAAAAGCCAAGGTTTACAGATATGAGAGTGCTATTTGGGGACCTCCTAACTATTCACGTCCTGTTTTGAGCTTGATTTTTGATAGGTACGGTATATTTTTAAGTGAGGTATACTAACAATGTTGGATAAATGTATAATAGTAGTTATAATCCTTTAATCATCTTAGAAATCCTTGTACAAAAATAACTTGTCATTGGCATTGTTCACACTCATCTTTGTTTATGCGCTCTATTGAAGATACAGAAATACAGAATAGCAACTTGTCAATCCCCATGCCCAGTTTATTTGATTTTGCAATTACAAATTTTTATATTTCAGACTATCCTTAAAGTACCTAACATTTTTCTTTAAATTTATCTCTAAAGCAAGCATATGTAAAGTGAGTCTTATTTAACACACACACACAGAGAGAGAGAAAGAGAGAGGTATCCAAATTGAAATGGGTGGAAATGTTCCTTAACCACTCAGTGCCTTAGTTTTTCACCTGCAAAGTGGAAATGGTCCCACAGCATGGGCCCTACAGGGTCATTGGGAAGATGAAATGGCTTAGTACAGGCAAAGCCCCAAGAACCCCATCACTGCAGTCAGCACTGCCTTTATGACAGGGCCGGGAGGGGAGAGAAGGAGGAGCCACTCTGAAGCATCTTCCTAAGCTTTGCTGGCCCCAGAGGCGTTCCAGCTGTAGCATTTCCTTTCCCTCATCCCTTCCTCAGGCCAGGAGCACTTCATCCATGCCCAAAAATGATGCACTCTTGAGCCCACACTCCTGGAGTGTGCTACCTCTGGGTAGGGACAGTGTCTCCTGGAACTGTGCACACTGACTTAGCAGGGTCAGCCCTCTAATGCCTGTTCTAGTCCTGCTGGACTACTCCCTGAATTTAAACTTTATATGATAACAACTTAGTTATTTCCTCAGTTCTCAATGTGAATAATTCAATGTCTTTTGATATCATTTTCTTTAGAATGAAGGATACCACTGGTTCCAGGTAATATCTGCATAGATAATTCAATGTCTTTTGATATCATTTTCTTTAGAATGAAGGATACCACTGGTTCCAGGGTAATATCTGCATAGAATAAATTCTTCGTACCGGGAATAACTCTTCTTACAGTCTGACCACTTTGCTGTGTTCCATATTTATATTATCATGTTTTTCATTTGATACTTTGGGATTCCTTTCTGCAATATTTCATTACTCTTTGATTGACTTTTTACAGGACTGAGAAGCCTGAAGAAGGAAGGTGCACAGGAAGTCATATTTCTCTTTTTTGGAGATGATTTCTTACACTTGGATCCATTGACCCAAGGAACATTCTTCTTCATTCCCATTCCTCCCTCCTTTGTAAAATAAAATTTTCTTTCTCTGCTTATAGTGAGTGGGTAAACAGACAATATGTGGCAACTCTTAGAAAGCTGACCGCCACAGGAAAACAATTCAGACCCATCTTAGCTGCACACAGTATAGCTACTACATTGAAATACTGGTACCATGGCTCACCGCCGGGGGAGATCGTGTCTTTAGGAGTACTAAGTGAAGGTAAACCTGGTTTGTTTGTTTGTTTGTTTGTTTGTTTATCTTGTATTATTTTAAAACCTCCATGTATGCTTCGTGCTTCTGCTTCTGTGTCCCTGCCTTCTGCCTACATGGTCTATAAGCCTTCTAGACCTCCACAGTTCCATACTCACTTATTTGTTCATGCACTCACTCAGTGAGCCAAGTGAAGAAGCGCCAGCTACAAACACTGCATAGTTCTGTTGAGTTGTTCTCACCGTATCCAAGCTGAGGAAGGGAAAAAGGTTGATTTTGGGCAGATGGCAGGAAGAATCAGATCGGACTTCAATGAGGAGGTGACCCTCCAGGAAGCCTTCAAGGTGGAGTAGTGTTCACCTGGCAGACTAGTGTGGGAAGAACATCCCGCAGCAGCCAGAGGGGCAAGGGCGCAGGGTCAGGATACAAAGGGCACATCAAGACGCAGATCATAGAGCACCACACCAGTGGGAACGGGGAAGCTTGCTCCCCAGCCACAAATTCTGTATATGCATTTTTACGACCTTACTGCTTTAATCTGCTAAAAACTATTTCAGAAGAATTCTATCATTTTTGAAAATAGGAAAGAGCAAGCAGGTGATGTTCTGTGTCCTATGGGTTCTATCTAATGCATCTCTTCCCTTTGTGTTTTACTCTCTCCCTGGGCAAACTCATTCACTGCTAAAGCTTCCCACCTCGGCCTCTCTGCTGAGCTGCAGCCTAGGAAACGCTGTCCCCTGGACATCATGCTGTCACCTGAAACCAACCTACACCAAACTGAACTTACTGTCTTCCTCTCCAATTTGAGCTACCTCTTATATTTCTTATGTTATTGTTAGTGGAACCACCATCCTCCCTATTCTTCCAGGAAATCTCCCCAAATCCCCCAAGTCCAGATTCATCTGTCTCTCCTCTGTACACAGATAGCATCTGTTCCTCCGTCAGAGAGCATATCACAGGCTGCCCTCGTTGGTGGTGCAGTTAATTGCATAAGTCCCCTCCGTTGGAGTTTGTACACCGAGGGCAGGGCTTTGCTGGGTCTTCCTGTTGCTACTTTAGGGTTAGATACTCAGTGAATCTTCTTTCAATTGCAGTAAGGTGCATGAGCGCTCTTTTAATGAATAAGGTGAATTCAAATCAGTATGTTACCTTTTAGTGTAATAGGCATTTAAACCTTATCTTTATTTGTAAACAGCTTAATTAATCTCTGTAGGAGTTCACCAATAAACAGTGCAATATTAGAAGTGAAGAGCATGTAATCACTATGTCCCTGAAACCATATGTTGTCTACCCATAAGGCTGGCTCTTTTTTTTTTTTTAAGATTGATTGATTGATTAATTTGAGATAGAACACAAGCAGGGAGGAGGAGCAGAGGGAGAGAAAGAAGCAGACCCCCTGCTGAACAAGGAGCCAGATGTAATGAGGGTTGAATCCAGGACCCTTGAATCATGACCTGAGGCAGAGGCAAAAGCTTAATTGACTGAGCCACCCAGGGACCCCAATAGGCTGACTCTTTACAGATAAAAAAGACTAAACAGAGAACCTTCCATGCCCTTTAAGGAAAGGCCCTTTAGGTACTGGTTTCTTGACTATCCTCACATTTTTATTCTACTGAGACCATTTTTGATGACTAGAATGGCAAGGATCATTTTCTCATTTGATTGAGGCACAAGGGGCGGGGGAGTTTTATTTGAGTGTTTCGTAGATAATAGTAAGTATTGCCAATCTTATTTGGCACACATCCAAACTAGGCCCTGGGAGCTGCCAGGAAATCACCAACTTCCCCACCCCCTGTCTCTTTCACCCTAGTCCTCCCACTGTGGCTATGGGACCACCACAGGAGTTTAGAAGAGCGCAAGGCCAGTTGGACAAATGCCTTGGGCTACCAAAGGGGCAAGGAAAGGAAGGCCACAGGGAGCAGACAAAAGGAGTCCAGACAAAATAGAAGAGAAAGAATGCGTGAGCCCCTGAGGCAGAGGCAGGGATTCTGAACCAAGCCAGAGGAGACTGAAGGGGTAACAAGAGGGAACAATAGCTTTTCCTTGGGAGAGAAACACGGAAGAGAGAGTTGCCAGAACTTGGAGAGATGCTCAGTCAATACTTCTAGAGTAAGTGTTTCAATCCTCCTGGGAGAGGAATTCCCAGAAATTTGGTTCACCATTACTATTAAAAATTATGTGTGGGGCACCTGTGTGGCTCAGTGGTTGAGTATCTGCCTTTGGCTCATGTTGTGATCCTGGGGCCCTGGGATGGAGTTCTGCCTCAGGCTCCCCGGAGGGAGCCTCCATCTCCCTCTTCTATGTCTCTGCCTCTCTCTCTCTGTCTCTCATGAATAAATAAAATCTTTAAAAAAAATAATGTACCATCTCTGTCCTTTTCTACAATGCTTAACATGAAGAGTTTATTGTTCTGAGCACTTTTGTTTTGCTTTGCTTTGTGCTTGCTCACTACAGGCCAGTTTGGTATTCCTGAAGGGATCGTCTTTTCTATGCCTGTAAAATTTGAGAATGGAACTTGGGTAGTTCTTACAGATCTCACAGATATTGAAATCAGTGAACAAATAATGACCAGAATGACAAGTGATCTAATTCAGGTAATGTCTGAATAGATACAAAAATGCTGAGTCTGCTAATGACCATAAATTGATTCCTCTAGGCCAAGGCATACACTTATTTTCTGTGGGTTCAATTTGCATCCTCTTCCTAAAAATAATCAGGAGGCAATAAGAGTTTGAAGAAATCAATAGAAGAACACTATTAATTAGATTACATAATTTCTGGCATGTTAAAAATATTTGTTGGTTACTTAAAAATCAAGACACAAAGTATTTTTCTATTGAAGATTGATTAAGTTAGCAATCGCGGTCATCTACTTCTCTAATTATAAAATTTTTCTACAGGAGAAACTTATTGCACTTGGAGATTTGGTCAGTTTTCAGCCCTATCAATCAGGTAATATTTTCAATGTGATGTTTGATTGAGCTGCTATTAAAAGACTATTGAAATATTTGTTAAAACTGAATCAGTATTGAATATTGATAACTATAATGCACATTTTATCACTTTTAAATGAAATTGTTGACAAAATAAAATGCCAAGTTCAGTATGTCCTTCAAAATAGAACATTTCAAGAGAATGCTAAAGAAATCACATCTTAAAAACATGAAGACCTTATAAACGTTGTGTATAACATATGTATTCATGTCCCAAGCCTGCCGTAACAAATGATCACAAACTGGGTGGCTTCAACAACAGAAACTTACTCTCTAGTAAATAAATGAGACTAGCCGACCTACATCAAAGTGTTGGCAGGGCCATGGACCCTCTGATGGCTCTAAGGAAGTACCCTTTCCTGCCTCCTACTGGCAGTGTTTGGCATTCTGGGCTATGGCTGCATTGCTCCAATCTCTTCCTCTGTCTTCACATGCTGGTCTTCTCTCTCTGTGTGTCTGGTTTCTTCTCCTTAAATGGACACCAGTCATGGCAATCCAGTAAGACCCTATCTTAACTTGACTAAATCTGCTAAAACCCTATTTCTAAATAAGGCCACATTCACAGGTAGCAGAGATTGGCACTTCAACACATCTTTTTGGAAACACAACCCTACTCACAATGTTCCTTTTACTTTTAGATCACTTAAAACACACACACACACACACACACAATAAATTGTAGTAAGCTATTTTTCTCACTGCCAGTTTCTCTTATCCTAAACTTACAAGAAAGTGCTATTTTCTTTAATCTTCTAAATATTGAAAATATTTAATAACCAGTATGGTATAGGTTGCACCCAATCAAAATAGTTGCTGCCTCTCAGAATGAATTAACTGGTGAAAAGAACCTGACAGGGTACAGAAGGCTGTCCTTGGTCCAGACAAGAGGGTTTAGTGAGGTCAAAGTATGGCAGTGTGGGCAGAGAGAGACAGGACCCCCCCCCCCCAAAAAAAAAAGAGATAGAGACATTCTGGGCAGAGGATGGGCTTTGGAATTCAGACCTGGTTCTGCCTAGAGATCAAATCACCAGGTATGGGCAAAAGCAAATAAAGCCCAAAGGCAGCACGGAATCCAAGGACACAGACATAGAAGTCCAAAGAGCAGTTGGTTTTCCCTGAAACCCTTTTATTCCCTGCTTTTGCAGACTAGAGCTGCAAATTCCTTTTCTGAGAATAGGCTATAAAACAGTCATTCTAAATTTGACTGCTTTGACTGGTTGTTAGTCCTAAATTTTCCATAATACTTGCATTATAGAAGATTTTGTGAAAAGGAATAACCTGATTTTATGCTATTTTCATTAACAAGACCAAGAGATAGATGATGATGATGATAGATAGATAGATAGATAGATAGAGATAGAGATATATATCTTGACTCTGTCAACTTCAGACCTTGCCCAAAAAACTATTCCAGAGATTCCAAGATCAGAGTATTGAAAATAATAAGAATTTTGCACACTTTGGAGATCTCTGCTTATCAGCATATCAATGAGATGATTCATGCATGAGGTTTGTTTAATCTTTTGATTAATTTAATACTTAATTTCTTGAATTTTAGAGACTGACTTAGCCAAAGGATATGAAAAGACCACCTTACCTACCACATACAACAACCAGGAAAACCAAAGAGTCTCAGATGGTAGGTATATCAATTGAAAAAAAAATGTTCTTTTTATCCAAAGCTTAACACTAAATTTCAAAGAAAGGAATTTGATTATCTATTAGCCACAAAGTAGGAATTACGTCTTTTATCACCCTCATCCTATATTCAAAAATCAGATCATATTTAAAATTTTAAAGGAAATTACCAGATGTTCATTGAACACCTTCTCTATACTGGTCACTGTGAGAGACACTGGGGACACAATGTCAGAGTTATAGCCACACAGACATGTGTGGGGAAAGGAGCCATGAGAATATGAAGAAGTAAATGCCAAGATGCACAGTGAATTAAAAAGCTCAATAAAACAAGATAAGCCAAAAGGAGAGTATATAATAAATAATCTAGAAACTCACAAGTGAAAGAGAGTTCCTTGTAATATATGAAGTAGAAGATACTCATATCTTCAAATCCAGTTGGGACTTAAGATGGCTAAAGATAGTCAAATGGTCATTTATTCAGAAACTGCTGCTTCTGTCACACAAGGTGAAAATAGTCTAGAGATCTATTATACAACAATGCATACATAGTTAGTACTGTACACTGAAAAACAAGTTAAAAAGGTGGATTTCATGTTATATGTTTTTAGCACAATAAAAAAAGGAAGAAAGAAAGAAACCACACTAGGTTCTAGGGACATGAACATGAATCAAATGTTGTTCTTGCTCTCCCATCTAGTATGGGACATAGCAAAGCCAATCAAAAACTACCTGTTGAGAAGGAAATGGTATGTAGAGAGTGGCCCAGGTATAATAGAACTACACTGGGGGTGTCCTGACAGGGACAGGAGTGTTAGGAAAGGCTTCAAGTAGAAATGATATGGGAGCTGAGTCTGGAAGGATGAATAGAATTACTACTGTCATGTAGTAAAAAAGAAGCCTGCAAGTGGAGGAGTCAGAAAAGCTGTGGAAGGTGCCTCACCAGAAGGAGACACATGGCCAAAGGAGGCATTTCAGGTGCCCAAGGTTGTGACCAGAGTTGTGAACTCAAGGCAGTCTAAAGTTGTATTCAGAAGACAATATACAGAGTAACTGAGCTACAGCAGAGGATTCCAAAAGGATGGGTTGAACTGGAAGAGGCAGGTGGAGGTCATCTCTAGTTTGGTGGAATTAGTTGAGAGCTCAGCAAAATGTCTGATGGGTGGCAAGACAAGCATGAAATGGATGGGGTCAGGCTTAGAGAATTAATCTGGCTTTCTCATTGGCCCCCTAGAGGATGATGGAGCCACCCAAATCACTGTCCAGAGGACCATGGTGAGCTCAGTCCAAGATAGAATAGATATTTTAAGAGACTCCAGTATCTGGGAGGCAGCACTATTGTTCCAGTTGGCCCAGCGGGTATTGAGCAATACTCAAGGCAAGAACTGAGGGCTCCAAGGCCTTTGTGAGAGAAATGAAAAAAAAAAAAAAAAAAACTGTTGGATCTGTCATGACCAAGGTGACTGGCAGCTTTCCAGAATGATTAGAGAAAAGGCAAGTTGTAGAATATGTATTCCAGAGTTTAGGCATCAGAATGATCCAAATTGTTAATTAAAATGTTAGATTCTTAGATCCTTTAATAAGTTATAATCTTACATAGACTGAAGAATGTTAGTGGTGATAAAGTAGAGAAAGTAGAGAAAATAGGGCTGATTTCAGGTGTTTGGGGGGCTATTTGTTGAATGAGCATTAGAATCAAATATCACTTGATAGTGCTTTCCACAGTGTGGGTTTGGTGGGTGGTAAAAGAATTTTGTGAGTGAGGCAGCAGGTGGCTCAGTTGGTTAAGTGTCTAACTCTTGATCTCAGCTCAGCTCTTGATCTCTGGGTCATGAGTTCGAGCCCCACAATGGGCTCTATGCTGGATCTGGAACCTACTAAAAAAAAAAAAAATCATGATGAAATTAAGAACTGCCTTTTTCCCCGCCTTGAACTGGATTAAAAGTAGTAAGAAAAGCGTGAGTGAGAAGACCAGAATTTTTCCCAATGCACCAGAATAGAATAGAAAAACAAAGATGAAAGAAAATAGAAGAAAAATATAAGTCCTGTTTCATGTAACTTTTTTGTTTCATTGTAAGCACACATGTGCATGTAGTACACTATAATATAAAATGCATTTTCTACTGTGAGTCGTGGTCAACAAAGTTTGAAAAACACTGACATAGAACATTTTGTAGGTTGTTAGTTATATTCTAAATCCAATGTGTTTAATTTTTGTTTCAGAATATAAAGATAAAATGTATTCTGATCTACTCCAAGATGAGGAAAAAGACCTAGCTATGTCAAATGCTAAGCCAAACAAGTCACAAACAATCTTTGTAGCACTAATAGTCATAACTCACACTGTCTGGAGAATGACGTTTTGGTCAGAAGAACACAGTCCACTTCTCAAGACTCCATATAAAAGTTGATCAGGCACCTTGCAGCTCCCCAAGAGCAAGCACTCAGAGAAACTTAGAGTGGAAAGAACAGGATAGGAGAAAATGAGACTAACTTCAAAAATCAATGTTCTTTAGATACTAAAATCTCTATTCTATCCATTCTCTGTTTACAGCATTGGATTTTTTAGATCTGATTCCACAAACCATCTCTGAAAAGCCACAAAGTCAAGAACTCATAAATGGTAAGTGGGGAAACAAAATATTAACTAGTCTGTTCTTATTCTATAAATAAAACTGGGTAGCTGGGTAGAAGAGATCAAGTGTCCCCCAGATATAGTTCTTTGCAACCCCCCCCCCAATCTCACATCCCCAGCTTTGCTTGCTGATGCTTCTGGAGCCTCCCTTCCTGCATTTATGACCAGGGCTATGTCAATGGCAACTGAATCCTTCCCTGAGAATGAATAAGTAAGGAAATGGACACAGATAAATCTGCACGTCCAGATTTTTCAAGGTCTATAACTTAGTTGTCATATTTTAAGAAAACAAGACCCATGAATGTCTGTATTTATGGAAGAATAGTTTGAAAGGTTAACTTCCATCTTAGATAATGTTATGCTAGACTTCTTTGGGGTTGACCAGTCAGGATATCCACCCACAGCTCCACATTTTTATTTGGATGTCCAGTAAAATGAACAAATGCATGGTACCTTCCATTCTGAAAATGTATAAGATGATGGGCTTTGGAGTAGGGTAGCCACAGGGAATTAGAATTGATACATAGATGAGAAGCAGGGCCATGAGTAGAAACAGAACTGACAATGTAGCTACAGACAAAATTCAGAATGGGAAACAAAGGAACCAAGCAACACTGCACATAGAAATATATTAAGGTCAACGGGGAGGCCAGAATTTAGTTTTGCTGTATACAAAGATCTAACAATGGTCTTGTGGTTTGATGTCCCTTGTAGATAGAACCCCTCTCACACACACACTCCCCCAGTTGAATCAGATTGAATACAGGCATCCAAGAAACAGAAGAAAGTGCACAAATGAAAAGCTAATAAAAACATAGGTTACTAACGAATTTTTAATATACCTTTCATTCTCCTTTTACAGATTCTGGAGACAAAACTGTGGAAGAGCGACAGATAAATTAGACCAACTATAAAGTTATTTGGTAGTGTAATAAATATGGAGAGACCCATGAATGTCTGTATTTAGGGGAGAATAGTTTGAAAGGTTAACTTCCATCTTAGATAATGTTATGCTAGACAATAACAATTGCAGCACACACACACAAAAAAAGTGAATTTGATCACGTTGTGTGACCTGAATCGACTCATAGGTTTACTTATTGTCCCATTGTCTCATACAGTTTAGTGTCAATTGCTGTTTTTTAAGCTACATTAAAAGATAGTTGTCAGTCATGGCATCCTTGACTAAACATGCTTCTAGGAGAGCCTGCTTCCCCCACATGCCATACCTAAGTCACAGACACAAGTGGCCATGTTTGCTCAGCTGTCCTCACCATCCTTGATTGGATTAGAATCAATTAGATTATCTCTCACTCCATCAAAACATTTTCACTGAGAAAAATGGACAAGTAAGTTGGTGTCTGTATAAGGGCAAAGGTAGTAACCTAGAAAAGGCCACACAATTCTGCTGTCAGGTCTTCAGAGCTAGTCAGGTTCAGCACCTTCATAAGGTCTGGCTGTGTATTTTTTCTCCTTGGATTTGCTTGGGATAATTATCTTTACAATAAATCACACTTTTGCTTTAGCTCAGATGGAATAGGTTTCTGTTTCTTGACACCAGATGTGGCCTGAATAAATGAATTTTGAAAGGAAAGCATAATATTTTTACCATATAATTACATGGTTTAAGTAAAAATTACAGTCTTTATTAAAGCAGTAATAGTCAAACCAACATGCTCATATATTTTCAAGCTAACAGAACCCTTTACAAATGCCAATTAGGAACTTTTGAGAGCCCAGGAGTCACTTTAAAAACTGCTGATATCTGTGCTTTCTCTGTAGTTTAAATAGCTCTTACAGTACAAATTACTTTCTGAAAATTCGGGAAAATTTCAGATGCTCCTTCATTGCTTCTGCACCATTATGATTCAAAACGGTGACTAACTTTTGCTTGTTTCCAAAGTCAGCGTCTCATTTGATGTTATTGTAAGGAAAACTTAATGTCTGTCAGCGTTAAGGAATTTGGGTGAGGTTTTGTGCCCTAATCCCACCATTTCCCCTGCCTCTTCTTGTGATATTCTCACAAAGGAGTGTGACCACAAAGAACTGGATGGGAAGTCACATGATGCTCTACACAGAGATGCACATGTGGTGGTCATTCCTCAACACACCCGGCTTCTTCATGGCAAAACTGAGCTAGATTGGAAAATATAACTCAGACCAAGAACCCCAAGCAAAGCTTCCTGCTCCATTCCCCTTGAATCGGGTATACCTGTCACTTATCAGCAGGAACCAGATGGAAAAGCTGGAATAGAGAATATAACTATGAAAACCTATCATCTTTCAAGGCAGTGATATACTTTCCAGTGAATGAAGCCCTGACCATTCAGATAATCAGCTGCTTCTCCAGGTGGACATCTAGAGGGACCTAGAGAGAGACAGAAGCAGAGTTTCTCCTTTTTAAAGACACTATAGGAAACACTCAGCTGCATCCCCAGCAGGCTATTCTTTCCAGCATGAATATGAGCTGTTGTATGTTTGAACCATTATAGGATGACCAGGATACTCTAGGATAGACTCCTATAGGAGCACACATCAAATTGATATTAATTGTCACACATTATATCACACATTTGACCCAAATTAATATAAGATACGGAATTACACCAGAAGGAGAGTATTAGTGTTTGCTCTTTGTTTAAAATAATGCTGGTACCATTTCAAAAACATCTCTCAGAGAGTTTTGTTTCAGCTAATGCACTAGCTATCATGGTACCCTGATGTGTATCATAGATCAACTTGGGAAACCTCAAATCTGGTCTTCCCATCAGAAGTAACTTTAATATGAGAATATTAAAAATAATTTCTCTCTGTTATTAAAACTGTCATGACAAAGGCATGAGGGAGAAATATTCAGGAGAAAATTTACAATATTACTCAGAAGCAATGGGTGAATAAAGCAATAACTGGTCACAGAAATATAGGTTAAGTATATATTTCCTTACAACTATAGAAAGCACTGTTACTTGCTCTCCCTACAGCCCTATCCCCATTACCCTGACTAACAGAACTCTGATTTTATTAGGATGTACAATAGGCCCAAAACTAGGGCATGGATCTTGCTAGATCTAATCTAGTTCCATGTGCCAATGACTGGTCTGGGGGTAGGCATGTGATCTGGTTTTGTACAATAACATATAAGAAGTCTTCTGGAGGTGTGTAGGGGGCAGACAGGGTTGAAGATGAATGAATAGCATAGGAAAAGAAAGCACTCTGGTTTCCACCTACTTCCTTCCTGTGGAAAATGCTCTGCTACCAGGATATGATGCTTGCAGCTTAGGCAGCTATTCTGTGGCCATAAGGAAACATATCACCAGTACAATGCCACCAGGAGGGTGGCAGTGTGGAAAGAAGAAAAGCCTGGCACCTGGGAACTGAGACCTTAATGAATTAAAAGAGCCTCTGAACCAACTCTGGACCAACTTCAGAATTTCTGTCTGTCTGTCTGTCTCTCTCTCTCTCTCTCTGTGTGTGTGTGTGTGTGTGTGTGTGTGTGTGTGTGTGTGTATGACTATATACACTTACAGTCAACAGGTATATAACTTGATAGAGAACTATCAATTTGTTCTTATTTGTTTCAGAGGAATAAATAGGAAATATATTTAGATATTTTAAGCAATTGACTCTTCAGCCAGGCTCAAAACCTTTATGGACTCCTATTTCTGTAATATTCTCCCCAATTCCAGTTTGTACATGCCTAGTTCAGTGCTAGACCAGTGTTTTTCAACATTAGCATGAATCAGAATCATCTGTTAATACAGATCGCTGGGCCCCACCTCCAGAGTTTCTGATCAAGTAGGTTTTAGGTAGAGCCTGGGAATTTGAATTTTTAGCAAGTTCTCAGGTTATGCTGATGCTTCTGATCTGGGGACCAAACTTCGACAAGCACTGCCTACTCTGTGGGCAGTCATGCCCTACATCAGCCACATGCCCAGTGCCCTCTACTCACACCTACACCCCAGATAGTTCAGTCTGAATTTCACTTCCTGACCACAGGATTTCTCTCCATACTTACCAATAAATTGTTTTATGCCACCTCAATGCTATCCAAACTGGTCCATCACAATCCTATGAGCCTTAGGTTTGCAACCTGCCTTGCTTTTACACACACCATTTGCCCTGCCTAGAGTGTCCCCAAACTTTATCTCACTGAAGCCTCCTTAGGTCTGACACAGTGGGTGGCCTTCCCTCTCTTGACCAGGTCACTATTTCTTTCTATCTCAGAGAGATGAAAATCATGGAACTCCAACATATAACCTACTTGGTTCAAGAGCCTTTTTCTTCCTTCTACTCCCTACCAAGCACAAGTGGGGGATAATGTCCTATATAACTATTGTTTGCTCCTTTGCTGGCCTTAGCATAAACATCTTTAAAATTTCCTTGGCCCAGAGCTTAATGCTCACTCATTCTGCAGAGGACACAGAAAGGTTACCTAAGCTTACAGCTGAGCTGCTGGAAGCAAAACTAGTAACCCTCTTAAGAGTGAGCAGCTGCTCTGTCCTTCACATTAATTTCTCCTGGGTAGAAATTATGAGCCCATAGAGACATCTAATCACTACTTTCTCACTATTGATACAAAGAAGTGTGATTTTTACACAAAGGGCATATAAGCATGGGTTTTACAGAATAAACACAGTGTCTTCCTTTCTCGTAGGTATGCTACTTGTCTCTGAGACAGTGGTGAGACAGTGGCCACAAACTGGAGTTTCTCTTGCTCAAGAACAACATGCAATGGTCACACTCAAGTAATGCCACCAAGCAAGTTTTCATCCTTATTTCCCAAGAACTAACTCAATGTTTGAAAAATACCCTTATGAGCTCTCAGTCTCCATGCTGACTTGACCTATCATCAGTGCTGGACATGGTTGATTATTTACTTCTCTCTGATACACTTCACTTGCCTTCCAGAGCATGACACTCTCATGGTTTTCTTCTTACTTAATGTCCATAAAGTGCCCCCCATTTTTTTCTCAGTATCCTTTGCTGGTTCTTTTTATCCAGTCATAATGTTAGAGAGACCCCAAGGATCTGTCCTTGGCTATCTGCTTGATTTACACTCATCTGTTCATTATCCCAACCTGTCCCGTGACTTTATATGTCATCGATACATAAGTAACTCCCAAACTTGTATCACCAGGCAGTCATCTATTCCAAACCTCAGACTGATCTATGCTGGGTCAATATATTTCCAGTCAACTGGCTAACAGGCAAAGAAATTAACAAGTTCCAAACCTGTCTTTTAACTCTAACGTCTCCCACCCCAAACATACTCTTCCCACAGAATCTCCTTAAAGGGAAGCTTTATCCTTCCACTTGCTCAAACCAAATCCCCTGGAGTAATCCTTGACTTTCACATTCTACACTCAGTCTCTTAGAAAATTCTGTTGGCTATATCTTCAAAATATTCTTCTAAATTTGCCAGAAGCCATTCTCCACCATTTCCACCTTGGTCTAAGCCACTACTATCTGTCTTCTGGATTAATGTAGAGCGTCCTGATTGGCCCCCTTTCTATCTTTGACCTCCTATAAACTATTCTCAGGATGGTAGCCAAAATGATGCTTTCTTTTAAAATATGAATCATATTGTACCTCCTCTGTGTTAAAAGCCCATTGAGGCTATCCATTTACTTCAGAGTAAAAGCCAAAGTCCTTATAGTGGCTCAAAAGACCCTATGTAATCTGTTGCTACCCCTACCTTTGTGTCTCTCTTCTACAGCTCTCCCCCATTCTCATCCCATTCTGCTCTGGCCACCCTGACCTCTTGCCTGTATCTTACATCTGCCAGGCCCCCTTCCACCTGGGATCCTCTACTTGGAACATTCTTTCCCTATGTAGTATTTAACCAACACTTTCACTTCTTTCAAGCCTTTGCTCAAATTACTCTTTCTTAATGAAGCCTGCATGCACCATGCTATTTAACACTGTAATCAGCCCTTCTTAGCAATCTCAAGCCTATACTTTGTTTATTCTATAGCACTTATAGAGTCTAAAATTATATTGTTCATTCACATGCTATACTGTCCATCTCCCAAACTAGAATGAAGGGATCTTCATCCCTTCCGATGTTTCCTAAGCACTTACAACAATGCCTGACACGCAACTCTGATCAATGTTTTTGATCCCTCTCTTCTAAATTCTGATAATATTTATTATTAGTTTTTGAAGCATAAAAGTAAAAGGAAAACCAGTGAGTCTCCAAGAAAGTGGGAAGGTTACTGCTGGGGTGACACTTCCTTGGTAGGATCCACCACCAGAGCTTGTCCATCTTTACAGGATTAGGAATATAGTTTGCAGGCACCATTAGTGATCTTCACACAACCAAGACAACAAGACTAATGATGGAACAACAATGACAATTTATAAATCTTAGATTTAAAATAGCACTTCTGAAGATACCAGATGTCCACAGCCCTAACAGTGAATTCACTTCCTGTGCAAGCTAGATAAACACAAAATTATCATGAGAATGTTTAGAGTCAGA